AGTCAGAGCGATCTGCTTCGATATCCCAGAGAGGACGGGGTAGAGGTAGAGGAAGAAGTCAGACAGAATTTTCTACTCAACAAGAAATGCGCTCTACGGCTAGAGTATATAATCTCAATATCAGTGAAGACAATGAGGATCCAGAGATAATAGCAGGTATCTTCTATTGTACAGTAAATGCTTTATGATATTAGTTGATATGAGCGTGTATAACTATATAAGAGTAGAGAATGGGTAAGAGAATTGAGAATTTAGTTAGAAGTCATTTTTTTTTTGAAATAGTGTAGTGACAATTCCATTAAGGTACAGTGCTAAAGTAAACAAGATATGTTAGAAGTATTACATTCGAATTCAGGGAATTTAATTCTCTGTTAATCTAATGGAGATATTTCTCAAGGGATAAGTAAGGAGATAGTAATTTATAAAGGAGTATATATAGGGAATTAAATGGAAAAGGGGTGTAAAGTGTGAATTATAAGTTGATAGGGGGTAAGGAAATGGTAGAGAATGTTATGAAAAGATTGATTGATTTCGTAAAGTATACGTTTAATAACATTTGAAGAGGTTTAGGGTTGTATTCTGAGTTATAGAATGATGGAATAAGAGATTGGGTATGGTTATAAGGTAATTAGAAATGGATTAGGTTCTTTGGGAAGTGAAAGCAAATCATTCATTACAAATTGCAATGGGATAAAGTAGAGAGGGAGCATGAGAACATTGAAAGATATGTTCTTATCGATATGTGTAATGAAAATTCGAGGACGAATTTTCTTTAAAGGAGGGGAGATTTGTAACATCCGCAATACAGGGTTAGTGACCAAATTGTAAAGTTTCAGAATTTGGTGACTAAAGTATAAGAATGAAATAGTTCAATGATTATTGGATATATATGATGAAGGTTAATTAGTAATTATTAAAGGAAATTAAGGGTTAAATGGTCATTTGACTTGAAAATTATAATTAAAATGATATATATATATATGGATAAGGATGGGAGATTTTTCCAGAAATCTCTTCTCTCTTTTCTTCTTCATTTTCTCTTCTTCACGTGTGAAGCCAATCAAAGGTGAGTTTTCTCTTGAGCTGAGTATGTACTAAAATTTAAGTTTAGTTTTGATTATTAGATGCTAAATAAGATTAAGGAAGGATTAATGTGCTTTAAAACAACAAAATGAAGAGTTTATGAGGATTTAAAGATTTGAAGTTTTTGAATGAAATATCGAAATAAAGTTTATATTGAGAATTGAAAGTTGAATTTGACTTGTCATCAAGTTAATTAAGGGATAGGAAGTGTTAGAATAGGAATTTGAACATGTTGCAAAACTAGTATAATTTTTGCAATTACATAGGAATGACTAGATTTAAAGTTAAAGAAGTGATTAGTGAATAGAAATAAGTTTAAGTATGTGTATTAAAGTTAGAAGTATTAAAGGAAGTGAAATAGGAAGGTTTAAGCTGAAATAAGGTGATTTTCGAGCTCAAAATGGGATTTCTGGGCTAGGGGAATCGGTACCCATTCAAGGGGAATCGATTCCCCCTCAAACGAATATGAATTCCAGAATGCTAGAGGGGAATCGATACCCCCAGGGGGGGAACCGATTCCCCCATAATAAAAAAAAGAGAAGAAAGAAGAGAGACTAAACTATTAATCCCTTAAATTGGTAGGATTTTAGAGGTTAATTTCAAGACTTGGGCATCTGATAATCATCTTGAAAATTATGCTTATGTAGATATTGAACGTGACTTTGCTTCAAAGTAAACGAAGGGTTAGAATTGATTCAATTCAAACAAGGCTAAGGTGAGTGCATGTGCATAACAGGATTATGTTAGTATATTCAGTTTTAGAACTGCAATAAGTCTAGATTTAATATCTTGATACATGATTCATTCAATATTATTAAATATGATATGAATTCATACCATATACATTATGGGATATACTATGCAGATTGTGGTAAGTCTATGTTCCAGATTAGAGCTTATATATGAATGAGTTACGAGATATCTATATTAGGTATATGAAGTGTGTGTGCTGTGTTTGTATGGTTTATATGTATGAATGAGAATATGTATTGACATGTTACAATATATATATATATATATATATATATATATTATATGAGTTGTGTAAATATGTAGATAAATGTGTTAAATATGTGAAATAGTTAAAATGATCAATATGATTTCATAAGAATATGAAATAAGAAGTATGAAAAGGACATAAGAAAGAATATGAAATATACAGAATATGAATATGAAGTCATATGAGGGATGACATGTATGTATGTATGTATGAAATGGTTATATGAAAAGGTATAGGTAATAAGATGATCATATGAACATGTGATAAAGAGCTATAGAAAAAGAAAAATGTGATATGATGTATGAATATGTAATAAGGTAAAAGACAATGACATGATATGAGTTATGAGAATTGTAAGTATAGTTGGTATGCCAAGAGTCAAAGGACTACCTATGTTTTTCGAGACATATGGACAGTATACCTATGTTCTAAGGAACATATGGATAGTTTACCTAGGTTCTTCGGGACCTATGGACAGTTACCGAGGATCTTTATGACCTCTGGACAGTTACCGAGGATCTTTATGACCTCTGGACAGTTACCGAGGATCTTTATGACCTCTGGACAGTTACCGAGGATCTTTATGACCTCTGGACAGTTACCGAGGATCTTTATGACCTCTGGACAGTTACCGAGGATCTTTATGACCTCTGGACAGTTACCGAGGATCTTTATGACCTCTGGACAGTTACCGAGGATCTTTATGACCTCTGGACAGTTACCGAGGATCTTTATGACCTCTGGACAGTTACCGAGGATCTTTATGACCTCTGGACAGTTACCGAGGATCTTTATGACCTCTGGACAGTTACTGAGGATCTTTATGACCTCTGGACAGTTACCGAGGATCTTTATGACCTCTGGACAGTTACCGAGGATCTTTATGACCTCTGGACAGTTACCGAGGATCTTTATGACCTCTGGACAGTTACCGAGGATCTTTATGACCTCTGGACAGTTACTGAGGATCTTTATGACCTCTGGATAGGTCCTTCGGAAAATTCATGGAGCTGTGGGGACAGCATACGTGTGCACAATCTCATAATACTCGTATACCTTGGGTTCTCAATAGTGTATATGGGCTTAAGTAAGACATAACGAGGATGTATATAGTTGTATCTTAATATGGTATTATTACGATTTATATTGGCTCATATGTGGTATAATAAATGATGGTATGATAATATAATTGTGTTTGGATAGTAGACGACATGTTTATATTTTAATAATTCTTTATTATGTAATTATGCCTCACTAAGTCTATGACTTAGCGTGTAAGTGTTTTTACACGTAGGTTTCGAAGAGCAGGAGAATCAAGAATAGGAATTTGCAGATCAACCTATCTCTACTCAGCGATCAGATCAGAAGTAAAGTCATAGTAGGTATTTTGTTGTATGTAGTGTGTTGGCATGTAAGAACAGTGTTAGTTTAAATGCTCTGATTAGTTTTGTCTTGTTTTGGTTAACTCGTGTGCAGTGACAATGTTATTTTAATAAAAGTTTTAAATTTCATTGGTTTTCGTTAAAAGATTAAAGTTTGAAAAGTCAATGTGACACCTCAGACTTGTATCCGGGTCAGATACGGGTTGTGGGTGTTGCACTTTCAATAGCTTCATACCCTTTTGTGATCTGTTTGCTGATATAGTCAGATTTGCTCGTATCTACCTTTCATTCGAGTTTATTTGGTTATTTTTTTAACATTTTCCTTGTATAACTTGTGATCTTAAGTGAATAGTTTTCTCTTGTTTAGAAAAATATCTTTATTATGGGTTCGAGCATCATAGATGTCAAGGGTGTGAGAGTTCAATTTCAAAAGATTTAGAGCTTATCTTTTAACAAATATTGTCATGTACTTACCCAGATTAATTTTATTAAAAATATCTTTATTATGTGTTTTTTTACGATTATGGTTGTAAACATTCATTGTAATTTTTTATTTTGTATGTGTGTGAGAGAGAGAGATTTGATATTACCGTTTGATAGTTAGAAAATAAGCACGAACCAAGTGGCTTCCGTGGTAAAGGAATTGTTATTATTCCTTGAGAACCCGGGTTTGAGCACTATAGATGCCAAAGGTGTGAGCGTTCAATTTCAAAAGGTTGAGAGTTGTTCTTTGAACGAATATTGTCATATACTTATCCAGATTAATAAAAAAGACAATTAAAAAATAAATTATTAAATAATATAATAGATAAGGTTTCTTCTTTCTCATGAAAATGGTGTGGGCCTCTTGGGTCTCTAATTCCTTTTAAATTTTAGGTCTGGATCTGGGTACTTAAAAACCCAATTCTGGAAGCTCTTAAAACCCTAGAATCGTACCCTATATAACTTGTTCTTTCTTCGTTCCTTTACTTCTTTCAGGCGGCAGAAGTAGCTTAGGCAACTAGTTTAGCAGCCATGGTACTCGATACTCATCTTTCTTCGTTTACATTTTCATTTTTATTTTTTTGGTGATGATTGAACACTTAAATCGATTTTTTTTCCAGGTGAAGTATTCGAAGGAGCCTGATAATTCCACCAAGTGTAAAGTCCCATTTGTTCTTTTCTATCTCTCTCTCTTTTTAGCATTTTACTTTCTCTTTATGCTCATTTTGTTTGGAGATTGAAATCATGGTTCGTGTTGATCTTGTGCAGCCTGCAAGGCAAGGGGCTCTGATCTCAGGGTTCATTTCAAGGTATTATAGCCTTATTTCGCTATAATTTGATATGAGCTTCATATAGAGTTATGGGTATTGGTTTGCTTGTTGCTTAGGAGTGTATGTTATTGTATACGGTTGAAGATTCAATATATTATGTTTCCTTGGTGTTGCTGTTCTATGATTGTTAATTGGATGTCAAATGGCCTGGTTCTACTGTTTTCATGTGTTTATAAATAGTCATAGTGTTGTGTATATGAGCATGTTTGCTTGAGGGAGGATCTTTAAGTGTTTCATGCACTGTTTGTTAGTGTGGCTCTCGTAAACTTTAGGAAAATTACTTGCATTGTGATTTGGTGAACCTCTGGATCTTCTTGGTGACCGAAGGATCCATAAATGATGCCACATTTTGTATTACTCTGAAAAGATTTTAGTGTTTGATTAATATGATACGGGAATTCGTTAAATTGTTTTCTATAGGTGTCTTGATCTTGGTTGGTTTTGGTTGTGTCGGCACATTCGTTATGTTTTTTATTCGATGGTGATAATCTTTCGAGTCTCATACCTGGTAATTGCTCTATAGAACACAAGGGAGACTGCTTTTGCTATCAGGAAGTTGCCATTGGTCAAGGCAAAGAGGTATTTAGAGGATGTTATGGCTCACAAACAGGCCATACCTTTCCGACGCTTTTGCCGTGGTGTCGGACGCACTGCTCAGGCAAAGAACAGGCATTCTAATGGACAAGGTCGCTGGCCTGTAAAATCTGCCAAATTCATCCTGGATTTGCTGAAGATGCTGAGAGTAATGCTGAGGTATGCTTGCTGCTGTGCTTTATTTCATTCTTGTTGGTATTCCGTTCAAAACAAACCTAGATTAATTTTGCAGGTCAAGGGTTTGGACGTCGATGCACTCTATATTTCTCACATCCAGGTGAACCAGGCTCAGAAACAAAGGCGTCGTACTTACCGTGCCCATGGAAGAATCAATCGTACGTTCTAGAACCATACACTTATCATTCTATACTCTCTATTGTGTCTTTCATTGTTTATAAGTGTGTTCCTTTTGCTAGCTTATATGTCTTCCCCTTGCCACATCGAGCTAATTTTGTCCGAGAAGGAAGAGCCCGTCAAGAAAGAGGTAAATTCATAACAAAACTTAAATCTCTTTAATGGCTGAAAATAACTTCGTCTTCCTCCAGCCCGAGACCCAATTGGCGGCTAGCAAGTCGAAGAAGTCTCAAGTCGTTGCGTAAACGTGCTTCCTCTCGAGTGAATGATTGGAATTTTAGTCGATGAAAGTTGTATGTTGAACATCTGGTTTCTTTGAGAGGAAGATTTGATATTATTCAAAGCAGAGTGAGTTGTTATTTAAGATGTTTTCCGAATCCATGTTTAGTTAAATGTTATATGAGATTCCTCTTGGAGACTTTTTGTTTAATCTGCACTTCTATATGTTTCATCAACGAAGAATGGTCATTGCCGAAAATAATTATTAGTGGATAAGTATCAAAATTGTAAAAGTTTGCTGCCTAGTTCTTAATAGGGCTGTAAATGAGACGAGACGGATTACGAGCTACTCGATCAAGGCTCGATAAATACTCGGATCGAATGGATTGGACTCAAGTTCGAGCTCGAGCTCGACTCGAGTTCTTAACGAGCCGAAACGAGCTACTTGATATTAGACTCGAAAAACTCGTGTGCAGCTCGAAAATATAATATATTAAGATTTTATTTTTTAAAAAATAAATTATTAATAATATTAATATTTATGTATTGATTTAAAAAAAACACAATAAAATTTTCATGTATTTAATGTTCGAGTTTGAGGTTTCAATCGAGTAAAATTTCATGTATTTAAGGTTTAGGATTTTGAGTTCGAATTGAGTTTGAAAATTTTAAGCTCATGAGTTTACGAGTTGAGTCGAGTTCCATTTTAAAGTTTTCGAGTCGAGTTTAGCAATACTCGAATTTTACTCGGCCCGTTTACACCCTTAGTTCTCAATGGCAGTTGATAAACGAATTGTAGAAAGAGAGATTAATTATTAAAAGTCTAGAGTTCGAACAGTATATATATATATATATATATATATATATATATGGAGTGCGTGTATTGTAAATAATTAGATTTTGAAGAAATTTTATGGGAAAACTCTTCATAGGTTCAAAGAAATCAGAGTTAGAATGTAGTAAGGGTTTGTTTGGTTCACGGAATGTAAGATTACCAGTGTGAATAAAAGATTATCATGTAATAGGATTACTAGGAATGTTGTATTTTGTGTTTAGTTGGTTTAACAGGAATGTAAGATTACCGTGTTTGGTTAAAGGAATAAAAGATTATTGGAATGTATATTTAACCAAATTGTCCTTATTATATATTTGTATAATATTACAGTTGTAAAATATTTATATATTTTCTTAAAAAAATTAAATTCATAATATTTATATAATTTTTTTACAAAATTAAAAATATAAAAAATGTTTAATGAAAGGATAAAATTTTATTTTAACCCCTGAACTTCATATAAAATTTTAATTATAGAATTTTTTATAAATATAAAATAATTTAATGATTAATTTGTAATTTAACATTCGTATAATTTTTATTATTCAATGACAGAAGAATGATATTTTTTTAAAAAAAATAAAATTTTAAAGGCATTTTAGTCCAAAACACTAGTAATATTACAATACGTAAGAGAATTGAGGTAATGACATTCTCGGTAATATACCCTAAAAATTCTACTATTGGTAATAAAACATTACCGGGAATGACATTCCCGACCAAACCAAACGAGAGAATGTGAATTCCATTTCCGAGAGAATCCCACGTTCTCCGATCCAAACACTCTCTAAAGGAATTGTTTTGGTTTAGGGGTAATGTATAATATATTAATGGATAAGAATCAAATTCCCCAATCCTTCTGATGTGATAAATCAGGAAAGCGTGTGAGATTAAAGTCAAATTAAAAGCCGCGGAAAATATTCATCCAACCCCATACATGTAATGTTAAATTATTAATTAATTTAGGGTTTTTAAGATAATATTTAATTAAAGGATAAGGCCGACCATGTGGGCCATTTCTATCAAACGATAGCTGTTTTTATTTAGGGTCAGATTCATGATTTTATGTTAAATGTGTGAACTTAAATTTATAAAATTTGAGCGGAAAAAATAGATTTTTAATAAAAAATATATTAAAAAATTTTAAAATATACGATAACTATAGATTTTTAGGGGACGACCACCCCCACCTAAATCCATCCCTAATTTTGATATAAAGCATATGCCCGTTGAGAGACTCGATTTGAATTAATTCTATTGTTTAATATAATTTCTTAAATTTATATTTTTTTGATAATAACAATTGGATTTTATTAAAAAAATAATAGAAGTAATTATAATAACATCGCATCCAAATACAAAGAGAGAATTAAAAATAATAATCACCGACAACTCATACAAAAATGAAAGTATTAAATTCAGAGGTACCAAAAAAATGGAATATTTTATTGAGAATGACTATCAACATCGAAAGAATCTATTAATCTTCATAAAAACTCAATGTATGTATTTAGCGAGACGTTTTACGAAGTCATAAAAGAGTGATGAGCGAACCAAACTATATGGCAGGTTGTTTCACTACACAATTTTGATTATATCGACAAACAACATTTTACCAAAGAGGGAATTTGACTATCCGTGACCACTTACAAACTAAACAGAAAATAAATGTCGTTATGGTTTTTATATAAACACCAAAACGATCTCAAAGGAATACGAAAAATATATCAAGAGCCATAAGAATCGTACCACAAGAATAAGAAAATAAAGAAATCGCATACCACAAAAATAAAGAAAAATATGTCACAAAAATAAAAAATTCAAAATAACGTCGTCGTTAAAATAACTTGATTCGTATTAATATCTTCTACTTAAATAAATTGAAAGTCACAATTTTCAACAACCCTTTGTTTTATAATTTTCTTGAACAACCCACAAGGACTCGGGATTAGCAACACCAGCACCGCACCATCAAACTCGAGTCCTACAATGATCCAAATGCCCCATTGGCCGTTAACTTCGTCTCCACTCCACCATCATCACCCTTCATCCCCAAAATAAATGCAAATTACTATCCCTGGACTTTGTTCGGTTGCTTGCGGCGGAGGAGAGACGGCCGCCATGGAGCAGATATCCAGAACTCCAAGTAATCTGTAACAGTGATTCAAATAACAGTTGCGATCGCGCTTTTTGTTATGTCGCGTTTTGTCATATTTACGGACATAACAGATACTATTATGAAAATTACAGATATCACGAACATATAATAACGATTACAGAAGACACCGTCACTATTATATCACGGGACGTTATTACGGTCACAAACCGCTGTTTAAATCCTTGGGTAACATTCCCAGGTCTATAGGCATGGATGAAATGGAATCTCATTGAAGTCGATTTTTCTTTTATTTTTTTAAAAAATAATCATTTGTTCGTGAAAAAATCTATAGTGAAAACGCCGCACTACCACCGATTCGTTGAAGCCAACGGCCAGCAATTAAAGTTGAAGGTGTGGAATGAGATTGGGAGCACGGAAGTCAAGGCGATGAGTCTATTCTTTCTGGCGTGGGATAAAATATGGAAAAAATTGTTACTACAAGACACAACCCATCCTTTTCTTTTATCAACTTGACGGATACTTTATCGTCTTGGCACGAACTTTTAAGAGAGCCCATTATAAAACAATATATATATATATATATTATTATGTGATGATCTAATTAAATCGTTTAAAATTATTTTAATTTTTCATTATTTTAAGATTATTAGAAAAAATAAAAAAGTAATTTCAACTTTTGATTTCAGTTAATCCAATAATTTTAAAAATATATAAAATTAAAAGAGTTTTACGTAATTAAATAGATCATAATATATATATATATATAGAGAGAGAGAGAGAGGAGGGTAAGATTCAATTATATTGAAAATTAATATAATTATTTTATTCCTATTGTAAACGTGAATTATAATTATTTTATTATTTTTTCATGCCATCAGAAATATAAAAAAATAATTTTTGATTAAAAATATAAAATATTAAAATTTAGGATAAAACACACAAATGATCTCATGTCTATAGGGTATTGCTTTATTAAGTCCCTCGGTTATTAAAATTTATAAAATCGTCATTCGATTATAGAATGTTGATTTGTTAAGTCCCTAGATTATTAAAAGTTAGAAAATGGTCACCCCACTATTCATTATGTTTCAAACTCGTCTTTTTTTTTGTTAAAAAAATTGATGGTTGTTTAAGTTTGACATGAAACTGTTGAAGGCGATATGATAAAATATAATCCTAAAATCCCAAACGACTATCATATCTTAGTCATTATGTTAACGTCCAACTTAAACAACCGCCATTTTTTTAATGTGGGATTCAATAAAACAACACTCTATAGTCTAAGGATGATTTTGTAACTTTTAATAGTTGATAAACTTAATAAAGTAGTACTTTATAGTTGGGGACCATTTATGTTCTTTACCCTAAATTTTATAGAAAGAAAAAAATGATATAATAGTTTAATAAAGATAAATTAATTATATTTTGTTGAATATTTTAGTGATTTGGTAGAAAATGATTAAATGGTTGTCAGTTTAAATATTTTGTTATTAATTTGCTATATTTAGATCAATCAAATAAAAATAAAACAAAAGTTTGAAAAAAATGTTAGATATTATTTTGAAAAAAATAAAAAAATTATATACTGAAACGGATTAAAATTAATAGTTTAGATACTAACGCGTAATTTACCTAAAAATAAAAGAAATTAAGTGGTGAAGAATGACGTGGTGGCGTCCTGTCGGTTCTATCTTCATCCTTCCTTGCTATTTCTATGCTTTATAAAAGGGATTCTCTCAAGAAAGACGGGTTAATATATTATTAATATACGGTATTACCGGATATATTAAAAGATATTTAATAAATTCGGTTTAGCGCTATTTATTATGTTGACAGACTAATAATATTTTAGGTAGAAAAATATGAAAAACTATTAAAAAAAATTGATAACGGGTAAACTTTGGTTATCAGTAAGTATCTATTATTTTTATAAAAGTGTTCATACTTTCAACATATCAGGTAAATTTTATCGGTTTTGTCATAATGAAACTGGTTTTGTCATATTTTTACATATTGTAAAGTATCTATTATTTTTATAAAAGTGTCCATACTTTTTTCACTGTAGAAAACATTAATTTAAGGTTATCTTTTGAGTGAGTTTTAAGATATTAATTTAGTAATTATAGGCGTCTAATGATTTATTTTTTACGTTAAGATATATATTATTATTAAATTAAAAACAATAAACATATATATTACATATTTATTATTATCTTGGTTAATATTGTTAAAATTAAATTCTAAATATTATTTTATAAAATATCAAAACAATCAAATAATTTTTTGTGCAAATGAAATTATTAAATTAATATTGTAGGTGGAAAACATGAAACACTATTAAAAAAAATTGAAACATAAATTATATAACTTTAAAAAAAGTATCGATCCTTTTTATAAAAAAAAGTATGGACACTTTTAACATATTATAATGTAATAGGTAAATTTGTAATATTATCGGTATAAATATACCAGTTTACTTATAAAATAGGTCAATATAAGCGCCACCTATTACATTATATAAGCGCTACCTAATATGTTATTGTACTTTATAATATTTCCGGTTAAATAATATAACATAACTGGTTTAAATTTTAACCGATCATTTATTTAACCTATCACATCGTATATTTAACCTATTACATTATATAAGCGCTACCTAATATGTTATTGTACTTTATAATATTTCCGGTTAAATAATATAACATAACTGGTTTAAATTTTAACCGATCATTTATTTAACCTATCACATCGTATATTAACCGTTTTTTAGGCGCCGCACCGCATAACTACCCTTTATAAAATCATTTCCCCACTCATGGGCCATGGCAGTTTTGCCTTGAAACAAATCACTCCCACCTCCGTTAAAGCTTTCCTTATTATTATTATCATCATCAACACAAAAACAGTACATTATCTCCTGTTTTCCTGGATCAAGGTAACTCTTCCTTTACCATTATCTTTCTTCTTCTATGCTTTTCGTTTTTAGATCTATATCCTCTTGTTATTCTCAGATTTAATCCGTGTTTCCTTTTCCATTACCCTTACATTGAGTTTGTTTATTTCTAATCTAGTTCTGTTTTTTTTTTAAATTCTTACCAGACTAGATAACCTCTTTAAGACATAGATTTGTGTTTTTTTGGGTTGGTTTAGTGTTTATACTCGGATCTAACTGTGTTTCTTAAGCTGTTAGAGAAGAACATTGAGATATCTGTGTTGATTGGCTTAGGAAATTTCCCAGCAGTACATAGTTGCTGCTGCCGATAGGGACGGAGCTAGGATCGAACATTAGGACAGACAAAGATCAATTAAGTATTTAAATCTAAAAATTGGAAGGAGTAAAGGTCTTATTTGACTATTATTTAAACTAACAAGGATCTAAAATGTTATTCTACCAAAAATTTGGAGGGCCACAGCCCTGGCTCCGTCCGTCTGCCGGCTTGTGAAGCTATAGTGAAAAAAAGTTTTGGTGTGGTAAAAGTTGAATTGACCTTTCTTCCTTTTACTTTATACATTCAGGTGATTATTGGTCTCGTCGAAATGGAAGTTATCGGGGGTTAAAACTGCTGAATTTTATGGCCTTAAGAGGTATTTATGTTTCCGAATTTTTCGAATCATGATCGGATCAAACTATCGGTTTCCTATCTTTTGCTACTAATTTTCCTTGGTTTGTGATCTTGTGTTTAGATATTTGGGCGATGTGTGGGGAAAGGAACGGGTGCAAATGTGTGAGAAAGATTTTACCGGGTGCGACGGTCGGTAACTACTCGAAGAGCAAGGCCACTGGTATGGAATATGAATCAGACTGGACTAAGAATAGAGTATCATCGGTGTTAACAGCACAAGTGATCCGTTCCGCTACGTCGCTTATGCCTTGGTGTTGTAAAATCCCTATAGGTGATGGATTCCATGAGTTTCTTTAATTAGTTGACTAGCATTTGTAGAATTATCATCGCATTCTTTCGGGAAATATATATTCGAATTCAAGGAATCGTTTAGAAAATGACTGGTTTTGTGAGAGAAAAGAAGAGAATCACGGAACCGAATACGTGCCTTACCACCTCAGTTATGCAAGATACACTGATTCGTTGGAAAGGCAATCCACATCCATCTTCTGCAGCCATTGATGAATTAGACAGCACGCTGCTTCCGGGGCTTCCTGATGATGTGGCTAAGTATTGCCTTGCTCTTGTTCCTCGTTCCAGCTTCCCCGCCATGGGCGGTGTATGCAAGAGGTGGAGATCGTTCATTCAAAGCAAAGAATTCTTAACAGAGCGAAAGATAGCCGGAATGCTTGAAGAGTGGCTTTATGTTCTCACTATGGATTCCGAAGGAAAGGAAAGCCACTGGGAGGTTTTGGATTGCTTGGGGCAGAGACACAAGCTTCTTCCACCAATGCCTGGTCCTGAAAAGGTCGGGTTCGGGATAACTGTCCTTAATGGAAAGCTGCTTGTCTTAGCAGGCTATTATGTTTCGAACAGGACTGCCTCGGCTTCAGCTGATGTTTACCAATATGATTCTTGCCTCAACAGGTTTGTTTTTGGTTTTCACTTCTCATAGCAGTCTTAGTACCCCTCCAGTTCCACCCCTGCTGCATAATACATGCGAAACGAATTGCCGTAGCTTTGTTCTTGTTGGTTTTAACACATCTTCATATTTGCAGCTGGAGCAAACTAGCAGACTTGAATGTTCCTCGCCATGATTTTGCTTGCGCGGAGGTCAACGGTGCGGTTTACGTTGTTGGAGGATATGGGTCAGAGGGCGAGAGCCTCTCCACTGCAGAGATGTATGACCCTGATGCAGATAAGTGGACCCTTATTGAAAGTCTACGCCGACCTCGTTGGGGTTGTTTCGCATGTGGATTGAACGGAAAACTCTATGTCTTGGGTGGTAGGTCGAGCTTCACTATAGGAAACTCGAGGTTCGTCGATGTGTACAACCCCGAGAAGCACACCTGGTGCGAGATGAAAAACGGTCGTGTGATGGTCACTGCACATGCCGTGCTGGGGAAGAAGCTTTTCTGCATGGAGTGGAAGAACCAACGGAAGCTGGCGATATTCAACCCGGACGACAATTCTTGGAAGATGGTTCCGGTGCCATTGACGGGTAGCACGAGTATAGGGTTCCGTTTCGGGGTACTGGACAGGAAACTTCTATTATTCTCGGTGGAAGGAGACCCCGGTTACCACACCCTTTTGTACGATCCGGATGCGGCCCCGGGTTCTGAATGGCAAACTTCTGAAATAAAGCCATCCGGTTTGTGCCTATGCAGTGTGACAATCAAAGCTTGATTAATCGAGGGATCTCAACTGACCAATCTCACGTGTATTTCCCATTTAAGTTCATTTGTTTTGTGTTAAAAGACTGATTTGGTCGTGAACTTGTCAGGTTTAAGAAACTCAAGAAACCCGTTCAAGCCATATTCTCAGTTCTCATGTTTAAATTTTCTACCAGAAAATATGGAACAAATAGTAAGAAATTTTAGTTGCTTATATCTCTAGCCTTGCTCAAAACTCCAGCATATCCCCATTAACCTTGGACTTGTTACATTAGACCCAACGCGCAAGGGAGCATTCTGTGAAAGGTTGGGCCGATTCTACCTCCTTTACATAATGTCATAATGCCATTGCAGAAGCCAAAAAGGAAACTGGTGTGGCAAGGTCAATTATTTCTGTGAATACTCTCCATAAAGATAAAATACCAGTAATATACCTGACTGGGTAGTGTTGTACCACTGGAACCATGCTTCAAGCCGAACAAAAGCCTGCTGTAGGAAGGAAATGATCTCATTGCTTTCAGAGGCCGTAAACTTTTTCTTCTTTACACCATTAACAAGATCTGGAAGAGAAATTCATACTACATTTCACAACATGTGTATAGAATCTTAATCTAGGAAAAAGAACGAAATCAGACTAAAGAAAGGAAAATAAGATCTAAATATCTGGCAATCATAACTGTGTACAAAAGAGGCACTCCCGAAAAATAAGGAACACAAGCAACAACATAGTCTGATTATATGTGCAACAGTGTCCTACAATATCCAAGCTTATATGAAGATCCCAACGCCTGCTCAACATTCATCGACATATGTGCAAACATATGCCCCAAGCATGATACATCCTAATCAACAATAGATTGTGGGGCACACTGAAGAAATGAACTAAGGGCAATCAAGAAATTTATCTTTAAGACAGATGCACAACTAACCAGATTAGTAGTTGATGAAAACCTTCATCCCAGAGAAATCCCCTTGGAAAGAATGGTCGACTTGGAACAGCTGTGTATAGCTCAGCTGGCCAATATAGAAGAAAATCATCACGACTTTTAACCTGCAAGATAAGTTATCCCACTGTATTGCTTTGTCTCACATTATAAATGACAGTTTATGATAAGTGCAAGCTCTAGTATTTTTTTTTCTTTTTCTTAATAGAGCTAAGAATAACTAGGTAAAAAGGGGAAATAGCACAGAATAGACACCTACAGACTAACAACATGGACCAGGTTAACAAACAACAAGAGTCTAGATCTGATCACTAAAGTTTTCTCTTGGATCAAAATACAGAGTATTTTATTTCCTGTAATTCTCTTTTATTATTTAAAAGAATTTGATTATTTCTTTTACTTTTCTCAGGTTCCAATTTAGTATTGGATTGTTACTCTCGGATAACATTAACTCTATATATTATATGTACACACACGTAGCATCACTTGTTGGAGAGGCAAAGGTTATAAGCAAAGCAACCAAAAGGCATCGATCTCGACTGTTATTTAACCAGATGCTTGGCTTCGGGGATAAGGGTGTCAACGAAAGGGGTGCTAAAGTATCACCACAATGTTTGCTCCATGTGACATGCACCAAATTGTGTCCATGACCTTCAATTCTTTCACATTTCTACACCAAACTCTTCCCATTTTCTCTCAAATTGGAGAATGTATGAACGAACGTTAAAATATTATACAATTGTTGGTGTTCGGACCGGAGACATCTAAGGATAACAACTATTTTTTTAATTATTGATGTGACTTGTTTCGTAAAAATATTTAAAAATACAAAATTATCTTTCAAGTTTCCATTATGATAAACTAAAATTAAGATAAGGTTGGTCCAAAATTTCAATTTCCAATGGAGAAAAAAAATACGGTTTGGCTCTTGTGTTAAAATCCATGTTCTGTATATGGCAAATTGGCAAATTGGAAACTAACTTCAGACTGCAAACAACCTGGCCGCCAAAGCTCCGGACAATCCAAACGACATCGTGCGACATGACACGTGCACTCTTCTGTACCGTTTACTGCCGTAGGAATAGGATGTGACGACGACCACAGAAATCCATAAATCTAGCAATCTGAATCCAATTCTCAAATGTTTTTTTTATTTAAATATTAATATTAAGGGCTATAAATGAGACGTGATAAATCGCGAGCTACTCGAGATCGACTCGATCAAGATTCGATAAATACTCGGATCGAATGGACTCAACTCGAGCTCGAGCTCGACTCGAATTCTTAACGAGCCGAAACGAGCTACTTGATATTCGATTCGAAAAGCTCGTGAGCAGCTCGAAAATATAATATATTAAGATTTTATTTTTAAAAAAAAATAAATTAGTAATAATATTAACATTTATGTATTGATTTTTTTTAAATATAGTAAGATTTTCATGTATTTAAGGTTCAGGTTCGAGTTTGAGTTTAAGGCTTCAATCTAGTTAAGTTTAAGATTTTTTTTTCATTTCGAGTCTTTTCGAGCTGCTCACGAGCTTCAATTCAGGATTTCGACTTCGAGTTGAGCTTGAAAATTTTAAGCTCGCGAGTTTTCGAGTCGAGCTCCATTTCAGAGTTTTTAAATCGAGTCGAGCTCAGCAATACTCGAACTCGACTCGGCTCGTTTACACTTTACACCCCTAATTAGTACTGCTTAATTTTTAAATTTAAATATTGATAAATAAAGAATAAAAAAAATTAATTTTTCCGAATACTTGATCTTAATTTCGTCCTAATAATTAGATTGAGATCTAACCAGTATTATAGCTTTTTGTAACTTTGAATAACGTTTTCTTTTTTAAATCAAACTTTGAACAACGTGTGCTAGTTGGAATTGGGTCCCTTTTAATGAGAATGATAATGATATAACTGTTTGGCTACAGTTAGGGATGATAACCCATCGGGTTAAGGTCTAGTTTTTGATCGATTCAATATGACACTAACTCTTCCACTTAAATCCGATTTGATCTAAAAATATATATTCTTCATTCGATCTGATTTGAAAAGTATATATCTTTTAATTTGATTTTGATTTAACCTGACTTTTTTAAGTATAGTTTCAACCCTTTATTTAATCAAAATAATAATAAATTTTTTAAAAAATTACATTATTATTTTTTGGATCGAGTTGAGTAAGAGTTTTTCCACTTTCTATCGAAACCAAACTCGATCCGACCTAATTCAAACTAATTTTTTTTTTTTTAAAATCCAATTCTATCAACTTAGTCAGTTTGAGATTAAATTGTCATTTCTAAGTGCCGTTGATTAAATCAAAGCGGTGGGCATATTATTAGCGGGTTAAGTTCAAATTTTGTATTTAAAACATGCCCACGTGGACGGGCGGGCCGGCCGGCCCTTATTATTATATTCACAACACAATAGGAGATCCCCGCCTCTGTTCTCCTGCGCGGAAACATTTCCGCCGCCAATGAAATCAAAGTTTGTTTTTTATTATCCCCAAAATGCCCTCGAAATCGCTTTGTTTTTGCTTTTTTGTACGTTATCAGTACGTATATGACCGTATGTTATCGGAACAAATTGAATCGTCCTCACGTTCGAATACCGATAATAATAATTTAGTAACTAATATACCATCTTATTGAGTACATAGTCTCTCGACTAAGGGCATTGCTTTCTTTAGTACATAATCCCTCGACTAAGGGCATTGCTTTGTTTAGCTTTTCGACCATTAAATATTATAAAATGATCTTTTAATTATAGGTCGTTATTTTATTGAGTCTATCGATGATTAAAATTTATAAAATGATCATCCAACTATTCACATGTTCTAAATTCGTCTTTTTCGTTAAAAAATATAACAACTTAAGTTGGACATTAACATGTTGACTATAATATGATAAAATATTGCAGTCAACAGGTTAACGTCCAACTCATATTGTCATCAAATTTTAACAAAAAGAACGAATTTATAATATATGAATAGTAGGATGATTATTTTGTAACTTTTACTAGTCAAAAAACTAAAAAAAGCAACACCCTATAACCATATGACTATTTTATAATTTTTAATAGTCGATCAACAAAGCAGTGCCCTAGAATCAAGATCATTTGCATACTTTGCCTTATTTTTAATTAATAAACCTTAAAGTAAAACACCTTAATATAAAAATAAGTGTCTAAATTATACTTAAAATTAACTTTTAGTGTCTAAAGAATTTTTTGCTAAAAATGGGTGCCTAAAGTTTTATCTGTTACACTTTTAGGTTCTACCGTTAAAAAAAGTTAAGCGACACATGTCACATCCATATTTTTAAAAAAATATTTTTAATTAGGCATCTATTTTTAACAAAAAATTCTTTAGGCACTATAATTCTTGAAGGAATTGTAAGGTTACTCTTTGTCCTCAAAAGAAAGAACAAATTAGTGAATTTGTTGGAAAATCCTTAGTGTGAATAGCTAAGGTAGTGGACGTAGACTTTGGTTGAGAAAGTCGAACCACTTTAAATCGATGTGCATATTCTTTCAATTTTCTGCAAAAGCTTCCACCAACTTTTTAATTGCCAATTCACCTCTTCTTGGCCGATTCCATCGATCGATTAACTCAACAATTGGTATCAGAGCCTCACTCATTTGAAGATTTAATCGCCTCTTGAGTCGATTCGGGAAGAGTTACATTGATTTTCAAAGTCATCAATGGTCGATACTTCAAACTCCGACTTCGGTCTCGATTCATTGCCTGTCAACAAGCCTCATTTATTCAATGGAGATAATTATGCTTATTGGAAGAATAGGATGATGTATTTCATTCAAACAAGTTACATGGGAGCATGGAATATCATAGAAGATGGATACATCAAACCCTCTACTCACCCGAGGTTGTGGAGTGAAGGAGAGACAAGAATGTTTCAGCTCAACTCCAAAGCCATCCATATCATTTTTTATGCTCTTGGACCAGATGAATACGGAAGATTTTCATCTTGTACAACCGCCAAGGAGATATGGGACAAACTACAAGTCACTCATGAAGGCACAAACGAGGTAAAATAATCTAAAATTAGTCTTCTAACTCATAGCTATGAAAATTTCAGGATGAAACCTGATGAAGATGTCAAAGTTATGACGGATAGATTCTCCACAATTTTCAATAGTCTCAAATCATATGGAGAAATCATTCCAAATGATAAGCTTGTAAGGAAGTTAGTTTACGCTCTTCCAAAAGCTTGGCAATCAAAGAAGACGACGATCATCGAGGCTAAGAACTTAAAATCCTTGACCCCCGATGAACTTATTGGCTCTCTCCTCACGCATGAAATGATGCTTAAAGAAGAGGAAGATCTTGAGAAAAAAGACGAGCCAAAGAAGGAGACGGAGAAAAAGAAGAACATGGGAGTTGCTCTCAAATCAACAAACGATGAGAGTGACTCAGATGAAGATGACAATGACGAGGAAATGACATTGTTTCCCAAACGGTTCAAAAAAATGATGAGGCCTAACCGAGGAAGAAAATTCAAACGAAACGAAGGCTTCAAAAGTGCACCAAAAGAGAATGACTCGATCATTTGCTATGAATGCAAAAAAAATTGGGGCATGTCAAATATGATTGCCCATAATTGAAGAGAAATGGTTAATCAAAGAATAAGCACAAGGCTCACGTGGCTACATAGAGCGATGAAGAAGGTTCCGATGAAGAGGAACAATAAGTAGTAAACTTGTGCTTGATGGCATTCGGGGAAGATTCTAAGGTAACCTCTAACTCATTTGATTTAGATGATTTATCTTATGATGAGTTATTAGAGGAATATAATGGGTTAGCTTCGGATTATGAGAAATTGTTTTAAAATATAAAAATGATATTTTAAAATTAAAAAATGAAAATAAACTCATATCCAAAACCAACAACGATCTTGAAAGTAAAATCAAAGATTTGCAAATCAAACTAGAAGAGTTTGAAAAGAAAAATTCAGATTTGCAAAATTTACTTTCAAAGGTCAATGATGATCATCAAAAGAAAATTGATGATCTTAAAGCTTTTTTTGATAAAGTTGGAACAAAACATTTTTAAAATGAAGAAAATTCAAAATCCAACTTTGTTAGAAAAAGTTTTAAAAACTACAATCATAGAGGTCCCCGAAGAACCTCTAATGGAAAAATCGTTAGAAGTATATGGGTTTCTAAAGGACTCGTTGCTACTAAAGATAAGGATATCCTACACAAATGGATACCTAAGGGGACTAGGATTTTGGAAACTAACGAATATGGACCCAAAAGAATTTGGGTACCAAAAATTAGAAATTAATCTATGTTTGTAGGAAAATGAGCATTGCTACAAGGCACGGGAAATAAATTCAAACTCATGGTACCTTGATAGTGGATGCTCAAGACACATGACCGAGGACAAAAGCCGGTTCATAGAGCTTAACGTCAAAAATGTAGGAGAAGTGACATTTGGTGATAATTCAAAAGGTCACATTGAAGGTATAGGTACAATAGGTAATACCTCTTCCATACAAATTAAAAATATTTTATATGTGAATGGATTAAAGCATAATCTCTTTAGTATTAGTCAATTATGTGATAAGGGATTCAATGTCATGTTTGAACTAATGGTTGTAAAGTTATTGACATTGCATCTAATCAGATTATGCTTGTTAGTCATAGAATATGAAACATTTACATAATGCATAGTATGAGTGTTTTGCAACGGCTAATTCAAGGAGATTTAGTTCGAGGGTTGCCTAAACTAAAATTTGATAATGATAAAATATGTGATGCTTGTGCTAAAGGAAAACAAAAGCAAGTTTCTTTTAAATCCATTAATGATGTATCAACTAGTAGAGTATTAAAATTGATCCACTTAGATCTTTTTGGGCCATTTAGAACTACTAGCTTGGGTGGAAAACAATATGCATTTGTCTTGGTAGATGACTATTCTAGATATACTTGGGTTCTATTCTTAAGCACTAAAGATGAAGCATTAGAAAAATTCATCACGTTTTCAAAAGTAATCCAAAACGAAAAAGGTTACTCCATAACTAGTGTTAGGAGTGATCATGAAACTGAATTTGAATATCTTGGATTTACTGAGTTTTGTAATTCAAATGGTATTAGCCATAATTTTTCAGCACCTAGAACCCCTCAACAAAATGGAGTTGTTGAGAGGAAAAATCGAACTTTAGAAAAAATGGCTAGAACCATGCTTTGTGAAAATAATTTGCCAAAATATTTTTGGACGAAAGCCACAAATACCGCTTGTTATGTTATTAATCGAGTAATGATTAGGCCTATTTTGAAGAAAACTCCATATGAACTTTTTAAAAATAAAAAGTCTAACATTAGCTATTTTTATCCTTTTGGATGTAAATGTTTTGTTTTAAACAATGGTAAAGACAATCTTGGCAAATTTGATGTTAAAAGTGATGAAGGAATTTTTCTGGGTTATTCCTTAAATTCTAAAGTTTATCGAGTTTTTAATAAAAGAACTTTAGTTGTAGAAGAGTCTATACATGTTGTTTTCGATGATAATCTCCTTCCGAGGAAGGATTCTTATGTGAATGATGATGTAGGTGTTATAAATACAAATGACGTTAGACATGACGTTGAAGAACCATCATCAAAGGAAGAAACGAAAGATGAGGAACTTATGATCCTCTCGAGAATCCAACCATTGAAGAAAGAGAAGTATCGCACCCAAGAGAGTACAAATATGTCAAGGATGGTGAGATTATAGGTGATCCATCCAAAGGGGTAACAATTCGATCTTCTCTTAGAAATATTTGTAATTATGTTACATTTATCTCATGCATAGAGCCTAAGAATATTAAAGAAGCATTAAATGATGAACATTGGATTATGGCTATGCAAGAAGAGTTAAATCAATTTGAGAGAAGTAAAGTATGGACATTAGTTGAAAGGCCTAGTAATAAATCTACTGTATGTACTAGATGATATTTAGGAATAAGCTTGATGAGAGTGGTAATATAGTGAGAAATAAGGCTAGACTTGTTGCTCAAGGGTATACTCAATAAGAAGGCATAGACTATGATGAAACATACGCTCCCGTAGCTAGGATGGAAGCAATTAGAATGTTATTAGCATTTGCATGTTTTCATGAATTTAAATTATATCAAATGGATGTTAAAAGTGCATTTTTAAATGGTTTTATAAAGGAAGAAGTGTATGTGGAACAACCTCCTGGTTTTGAAGATTTAAAATTTCCAAATCATGTTTTTAAATTGACAAAAGCGCTTTATGGTTTAAAACAAGCTGCTAGAGCTTGGTATGAAAGATTGAAAAAGTTTTTAATTGAAAAAAAGTTTTCAAAAGGGAAGGTTGACACTACATCGTTTTTAAAGCATAAAGGTAAAGATTTATTAGTAGTTCAAATTTATGTTGATGATATAATATTTGGTTCTACTAATGATGTTCTTTGCCATTAATTTTCTAAGCTAATGCAAAGTGAATTTGAGATGATCATGATGAGGGAGCTCTCATTTTTCTTGGTACTCCAAATCAAGAAAATAAAAGATGACATCTTCATCAATCAAGCTAAGTACGTCAAATATATGCTCAAGAAGTTTGGACTAGAAAATGAGAAACCTCATGACCAGGGCCGTGGCAGGATTTTCGGGGGCCTTGTATAAATTCTTAAAAAGAGACCCTTATTTTCTAGATATATTCAATTTCGGGGCAACAATAGTGGCATTTTCTTGACAAACGCTGCGATAGATCCATCTATAATGGTGTTTTATCAATAAAGCCACAATAATAGTGGTGTTTTTTTGAAAAAAACATCGTAATAGGTCTATCTATAGTGGCGTTTATTGGAAAACACCACTATATATATATATATAATAATTTTGAGGCCCCATTTTTTGGGGGCCTTGCGCGGTCGTTCAGTTTGCGTCTCCCCAGCCACGGCCCTGCTCATGACACTCCAATGAGCTCATCAACAAAGCTTGATATAGATGAAGGAGGTAAATGTGTGGATGTTAAATTATATAGGTCAATGATTGGCTCTTTGCTTTATCTAACTGCAAGTAGATCGGACATTATGTTTAGTGTTTGCTTATGTGCTAGATTTTAATCATGCCCTAAGGAATCACATTTACTAGCTGTTAAGAGAATCTTTAGATACCTTAAAGATACTCCTAGTTTAGGACTTTGGTATCCTAGAGACTCTAGTTTTAGCTTGCATGCCTTCTCTGACGCGGATTATGAAGGATGCAAATTAGATAAGAAAAACACCTCCAGTACTTGCCAATTCCTTATAAATATGTTGATTTCTTGGTTTTCAAAGAAACAAAATTGTGTTGCATTATCTACCACTGAAGTCGAATACATTTTAGCTGGTAGTTGTTGTGCACTAGTTTTATAGATGAAACAACAACTTTTTTTATTATGGAATTGAAGTAGGTACCATTCCTATCAAGTGTGACAATACTAGTGCTATTTGTCTCACTAAAAATCTCATCCAACACTCTAGAACTAATCACATTGAAATAAGACATCACTTCAATAGAGACCACGTCGTTAAGGAAGATGTAGTTCTAGAATTTGTTGATACTTTATACCAATTAGCATATATCTTTACAAAGCCTTTAGACAAAGAAAGATTTTGGACACTTAGGAGAGAATTAGGTTTAACTGGCCTATCTTTACTTAGTGTTTAAAATAATTTTAGCACTTTTAAGAATAAATGAAAATGCTTATAATAATAATTTTTTATTGCATTCTTTGCTATTAGTTTGGGGGAGTTTATGTTCTTTGGTGAAAATTAATTTTATGTTCAAGTGTAGTTTAATGATTAAATTGATTGATTGAACATGATTAATTTTCAATATATGAGTTGCCAATACCACTAGAGCTAATTAATTTAGCATTTTAAGTGTTTAAAACGGATTTTTGACATTTATGTGCTTAATGCATCGATACACTTAACAGTGCATCGATGCATCGATACACCATGAAGGTACACCGATGCATGCCTTGAATGTGCATCGATGCACAAGGCCATGCATCGATGCATCCGTCGGGTTTTTGGATAAAAACCCTATTTCTTCCTCATTTTCTCTAAACACTCTTAAAACTTTCTCTTGGTCGTCGCTCCTCTCCCTCTCCTTACTCTCAAAATTTCTCCAAATCCTTATGTTTTGATCGGAAATCTTTCATACTTCAACTCCTAATCCTACTTTTATCATCAAATCATGCAAAACAACATCACATCTCTCTCAAATCCGAAATTTTTAAGGTAATATTTCAAAACCTCTATTTTATTAATTTTTGATCTTAGAAATAGTTTTAATTAGTTCTAGGATGAACACTATATTGGACATTGATTGTTTGATAATTACAAACTAGATTTTACAACTAATTTCATCAAAAACTTTCAATGAATTTTTTAATTTTCGAAATTAAAAAAAAAATCGAAAAATCTAAATTTAATTTTTAATTTTGATGTTTTTAATTTAATTATGTTGTTTTCATGAAAAAACTATATATATTATAATTTTCAAACATTATTTTCTAAATAGTTTTTCAAAACTATGCCCATTAGGATTCGGTTTAGAGAACCTTGAATTATTGCGGACTCAATTGAGTTTTGGGATTGATTATTGTGCATACATGTGTTTTAAATTGCAGGTTACATTCCTTTTTCCGATTCCTTAAACCATGTCTAATCCTAAACGCCCTAGGACATCTTCTAGTCGTTCTACCTGACCTCCTAATCCCGTTCCTCCTCTACCTAATAGTCTTTTAGGAATGTGTTTCAATATTCCTGAACGTCGTAGAAACGAATTGTACCATAGGTACATGGAGTCTTTTCAATCTTATAGAATCCAAGAAGAGCGTATTCATTCTCTTCAAGCCATGATAGATATTGACTTCGAATACCTTCCGATTCTTAAAACTTGGAAGTTTGATAAAATGTTTCACCTCAAACCTATCGTCTATCATCAGTTAGTCCACATTTTTACTCTAATGCGGTATGTATTCAAAATGAAACTCAACATGGGACTATAGCAATTAGATCATATCTTTTAGGCCAATATATTAATATTGACCCCGAGACTATGGCTTTCCGTTTTGGACTAGATGATGATGGGTTATATAATAAGAATGAAACTGTGGAATATCCCTATATTCCAAACGCTAGTGTTAGTACTCTAAGATCTCATCACGATCATTTTGTTCATTTGATGATCTCTTGGTGGTTTAGACCATCCGGTGGTAGGTACTCCACTCTTCGTGCTAGGGATTTATGGTGGATGCACTGTATTAAGAATAAGAACAAAATAAATCTGCCCCAAATTATATTTAGATATCATAAACATTGTTCCTTCAAAACATGTCGAAACATTAGTTTATGGATGTCTTCTTAGTAACATTTTTATCAAACTTGGTCTAAACGTCTCTCTCGACAATCTCACTCCTCTCCAAAACCCAATCAATCTCATTTCATTGAAGAAAGCCGATTGGAAACAAGGTGAGGTAACTGGTCAATGGGTCTTTCGACCCTCTAAGCAAACTCCGGGAGCTAGTTCTTCTCGAGCTGCTCCTAGCTCTTCTCGTGCTCCTCCTCCTCCTCCGGCACCGGCTGCAGACGATGATCCAGAATTTCAGTAGCTCATGCGAGATATCGATGAAGAAGTTCTTGACGATGTTCTTCCGGCACCGGAGCCAGTACGGCAATAAGATCAAACGCCACCATATTTTTTATCTTTCTTAAAGTTGTTTGATCTGAGGTTTACTTCCATAGAGTCTCAGATTCCTGAGTTTCAGTAGGAGATGCGTGAACGTATGAATGCTCTCACTCTTGAAGTTCGAGCTCATTATCCTCCTCATCCCGATCCTCCGATGGAGTATATTTGTTTCCTTGTTATGATTTCTTGGTTTTTAAAACTTGGATTGATTTTGATGTTCTGGGTTGTTTGCTTTGGATGTTTAAATTTGTTGGTTGTTGGATGTTCAAACTTATTTGATGTTTTATGGATTTTGAACTTAATATATATATATTTGGTTTGGTTGAATTTTCTTATTTTTGCATCATTAGACATATATGACCAATCATGCCATTTCACATTTGATTATGAATATTTATTATGAAACTAATGGCTAATCTCTCTTTTGATTGTGATCTTAGCAGCTTAATCTTATTTACTTATTATCAATTGGCTATACTTTTCAAAACCTTGTTTAAAATGATTTAAAGTCTTTTTGATTTAATAAAAAGGGGGAGAAGTGTAAAAGTGTTAAAGGGGAGAAGTGTTAGAGTAAGGGGGAGTAATTTTTCAAAATTTATTTTCAAAGAAAATCTTAAAATTACACAAATGTTTTGTTATATCAAAAAGGGGGAGATTGTTGAAAACATTTTAATGTTTCGATATAACAAATTAAGTTTAAATGAATTTTAAGATTTTACAAATGATTTTCTAAGTGTATTCGATTTAATTAATCGAATATCAAAATATTACTCCAAGTCTTTCAAGATCAATTTCAAACCTTACTAAATGTGTAAAATTGTGTTTTATACTTAATATATTTTTGAAACAATTTTCACAAAGTATTTTGAACCAAAATCAAGCCTAAAATCATTTTTTTCAAAGTGATGCACCGATGCACCAATCCATGCATCGATACACCATGGAATAAATTGAACATCGAATGCATTTTATACATCGATGCACATACCATGCATTGATGCACTCAGTGCATTTTGATGCATCGATGCACAAGCTATGCATCGATGCACTCTGGCTATTTTGAAACATAGAATGCATTTTATGCATCGATGCACTCTTAGTGCACCGATGCACTAAGGGTCCAACGGTCAAAATATTTGAATTTTACACTTGATGCATCGATGCACCATGGGTATGCATCGATGCACTGACGCTCCCAACTGCTTTAATTAATTGTTTTCACACTTAAACGGCTCTATTGACTCCACTAATCATCTCCAACATTCAGAATCAATTGAAGGAGTATTTAAACAAGCTTAGAAGCCATTGATCATTAAGAGAAAACAAGAAGAAAACAACAAGCAACTAGAATCAAGAGAGAATCAAAGAGAAATCATCAAACTCATTATTTGAGCAATTCAAGCCTATTTTTCATTCAATATTCATTTTGTTTTCCAGAACACTACTTGTACTCAATTGTATTCAGTTTTTAGTGTTCTTTTCTTTGTTCTAGAATTGTGCAAACATATTTCCTTGTGAGGTTTTCCTTGTAAGTTTGCAGATTTGTGTATTTCTCTTTGAAAAAGAGTGTGCTCAATAATTAGGGTATAATTCTTGAAGGAATTGTAAGGTTACTCTTTGTCCTCAAAAGAAAGAACAAATTAGTGAATTTGTTGGAAATCCTTAGTGTGGATAGCTAAGGTAGTGGACGTAGACTTTGATTGAGAAAGTCGAACCACTTTAAATCACTGTGCATCTTCTTTTAATTTTCTGCAAAAGCTTCCACCAACTTTTTAATTGCCAATTCACCCCCTCTTGGCCGATTCCGTCGATCGATTAACTCAACAATAATATATGAATAGTCAGATGATCAATTTACAACTTTTAATAGTCAAACGACTCAACAAAACAATATCCTATAACCAGATGACAATTTTATAACTTTTAATAGTCGGGGATTCAACAAAGTAACACCATATAGTCGGGATCATTTGTATACTTTACCCTATTTTTAATTGGACATAATGCTAAAAATAACCCCTCAATGTTTACTAAAATGATAATTGTAGCCAACATTCCTTTTTTGAAGCATTTTGGCTCCGCCATTTCACTTTGGGGCAAATATTCCCTTTAGATGGAAACTTAAGACATGATTAACGCTTTAAAATAAGGACTTTTAACCTAAAATAAAACATCGAGGGTTAAAATGTTCTAGAGAAAAAGAATAAGGGTCAAAGTGATTATTCTGTCAAATATTATGAGTTTTTCTGCCCTAAAATGAAACGTTGGGGGCCAAAATGCTCCAAAAATAGAATATTGTCCAAAATGACTATTTTAGCAAACATGGGGTTGATTTTGGTATTAAGCCTTTTAATTTAATAAATAAAATGTAAATTTTAGCACTTCACAAACCGACAAAACAATCCCAAAAGGACTAGTTCGTCATTTGGATAGCATTAATTGCATATCTAAGCGGAGGTTGGCAATAGTCGGCCGGCGAACCAGGGCGGGAGGAAACATCAAACCCTGAAGACTCAGAGAAAAAACAAACTGATATTTTATTATATTATAATCAAACAATTATTAAACATTAACCAATGTGCTCTAAACTATTAAAAATATTCTCTCTGCATACAGTCTTTCACCTGCAATAATTTTTATTTATTTCCTTGTAAAAATAATTTCCAATATTTCTTGCCATTTGGTTATTTACCCTCACTTTCTCTGGAACCAAACACCCAATCCTCTCTCTGCATTCCAGGTTTTCCTCAGAGAAAAATTTTGAATCCAAGAATCTAACTGAAATCCTATTTTTCCGAGAAAATTTTATATGAAGCCGCCTTGGTCAGCTCCGTTTTCTCCGGTAAGCTTCTCATTTTTTTTCCCGAACCTTGACGTTGGTCCAATCTCGTTGTAATTTTCCCTTTCTTTACTTGAAAGCTTGGAATTAGCACTTAACCAACAATCCACATGGCTATTGGCAATCTCGTTGTAATTTTCCTTTCAAAACAAAAATAGTCATTTCTTGAAAATAGCAGAGTTTGTTTTTATTTTCACAGTCGTGTTTGTAAATTCCATTTTTGGCGCGTTTCTGTTTCTCGCAATCTCCATGGGAAAATTAGCATTTCGTGTTATATGTTGTTCTTTTCTCCGCCTTGCTTAGTCCATGTTCGCGAGTTTCTTGTTTCTTTTGCTTGTTTTCGGATTCAAGCTGATAGTGATCCTCGTCCCGTCTTGGCTCGGATCGCTTTCACAAAGGTCATTTTGTTCCATACAATTTGTGGATTCATTTTTCTTCCATTCTTTTAAACAATTATCTTTTGATTTAATTGTTCCATTACTTACGAAAATATTGATTTCGATTTTCAATTGTTTTATGAGACGTCTAAACCAAATTTCTTAGCAGCGATCGTAAGTTTTTGTTTCTTCCGGGATTTCAAGTTCCCTCTCGCGGTGTTTGACTGTAACAAATTTAGATCAAAAATCAAATTTCTGCAAAAAAATATTTCCGTCTAAATACGTGTTTGCATTTGTTTTGAACTCGCAATGATGTCCAAATCAATAGCTTATTCATTAACGCTCATATTGCCTAGTTTTTTCTCTTTTATGTGGAGAGGCCTTTTCCTTGTCCATTTCAACGTATGCAATGTTTTATTTTTAAACCTAGGTGCATGAGAGGAAATAGTTGAAAATTATACATACATATATGTGTGTGTGTATATATATATTCTGAATGATAATTTGTTCATATAGAAAAAGGGAACTATAGAAATGAGACAAATATGCCATTTACTTTGCTGATGTGCATCCTTTTATTCAATTTGAAGTTCTTAAAGCTTGATTCCTTTCAGTGCAACTCGAGAGGGGTTGTGAACTTGTGGTTTTGTTTCATGGTTGGTAACAATTTCTGTGTCGAGAAGGGCAATGATTTTTTTTCTGTTCCAAATTGTTAATTGAGGGAATAAAATTAATATAACATTAAAGTTTTAAATTATGAATGTAATTTGAACTTTGTTTTGTGTTTTAAAATATTTGTTGGCGGCTAGTTTATAACCTATCTGACTCTGTTCTATTTTCCTCGGCATTTCAGTTGATATAGATTTGTTTTTAGTGATTTCCTGATTTGAAGGCTAAATTATGGATAACTCTGAGGTTGAAGAGAACCTATTTGCAGTTTGTGATGCCAAGGTAAGAAATCGACAGCATTTGGATTTCTTTTTTCTATTCTTTGAATTCTAATTAACTTCACAAAAAAGCACATGCTTGCTTGCCATTTTTTTTTAAATTTTGCAGAATTAGTTTTGTTGGTATCAATTTATCTGTTAAGTTTATAGTTCTTGTTACTTTTTTTTAAAAATAAAATACCTTCTGTTTTTGGGAAGTTGTAATGTTTGGATCTTGTTGCATTTTTTTAGGACAAGGAAAAAAAATCTGAATTTTCACAGTTTTCTAACCTATTTTCTATTTTTTGTTCTTATGCAGTTACATGGAGAAATGTGCAAGACACTTTCAGAAATTTATGGAAAAGTATTGTCGATATTCCCTTCCATAGAAGCAACACGGCCCAGGAGCAAATCTGGGATTCAGGCTTTATGCTCATTGCATATAGCTCTAGAAAAGGCTAAAAATGTTCTTCAACACTGTTCAACATGTAGTAAACTTTACTTGGTAAGATATATGTATGTACTCATATGTACTCTTAGAGTAGTGGTTCTTATTTTTGTTTGATGCATTCTCTTACTGATTTTTCTATGTTTTATTTTACACTGTTTTTTTAACGGTATTTTTCTTGTCATTTAGGCTATTACCGGAGATTCCGTTCTTCTAAAATTTGAGAAGGCCAAATCTGCTCTTATTGATAGTCTTAGGCGTGTAGAAGATATAGTACCACAGTCCATTGGATGTCAGGTAATGATTCCCCCCTTTTGGTTTGAGATTGAAAATATGTAATTTTTCGGGTGTTCAAATAAACAAGGAATTTTTTTGCAAGCAGTTACAGTCTGTGTTTATCCAAATCATCCTAGTGCATTGTTTTATTTCCTAATGATTGTGGTTCAAATCAACAAGGATTTTCAAATTATTAGGAAATTTGCTCTCATGGTTATATTGGAGTTACCTGCAATATGAATCTTCCTATGTGAAACCCTGTAGTAGCTGTTGCTTTTTCTCGTACACTAACGGTATTCTCGATTACTTGTTTGGCTTCAGGTGTTAGAGATTGTAAATGAACTCGAGGAGACTGTTTTCTCACTTGATCTGTATGAGAAGCAAGTTGGTGAAGAAATAATTGCATTACTCCAGAATGGGAGGAATTTTGAAGAATGCAATGATAACAATGAACTCGAGTCTTTTCACCAGGCAGCTTCTAAACTTGGCATCACGTCTTCTAGAGCAGCCCTTGCTGAAAGAAGGGCTCTCAAGAAGGTGATAGAAAGAGCTCGTTTAGAAGAGGACAAGAGGAAGGAATCTATCGTGGCTTATCTTTTATCTCTCATGAGGAAATACTCCAAGTTATTTCGAAGTGAGGTTTCAGATGATAATGACTCACAGGGTTCAGCACCCTGTTCCCCCACTGTTTTGGGTTCTCTTGATTATGGAGGGGCTGGTGGTAATGGCCACGCATTTGAGCGGCAGCTGTCAAAACTCAGTTCTTTCAATTTCAGGACAAGCATTAGGAGATCTGGACAGATACCCCTTCCACCCGAAGAATTACGTTGTCCGATATCATTGCAGCTTATGTATGAACCAAACGTAATTGCCTCTGGACAGACATATGAAAGAATCTGCATCGAGAAATGGTTTAGGGATGGGCATGACACCTGTCCGAAGACTCAACAGAAGCTCCCGCATCTCTCTTTGACTCCTAATTACTGTGTCAAGGGTCTCATTGCTAGTTGGTGTGAACAGAACGGAGTTCCTATCCCCGATGCCCCCCAAGAGTCTCTTGATCTTAACTACTGGAGACTGGCCTTGTCTGCATCCGAGACTGCAAATTCTAGATCAACGGATAGTGTTGTTTCATGCAACTTCAAGGGGGCTAAGGTGGTTCCTTTCGAGGAGAGTGTTACAAGTAAGGAAGTGGAAGGAAATGAAGCTGAAGATGAATCTCAATCCCCACAGAAAGAAGTTTTCGAGCTCAACATATTAGAAAGATATCAGGGAGTCCTATCTGTCCTGAATGAAGAAGATAACTTGATGGAGAGATGCAAAGTTGTGGAACAAATAAGGCTTTTGCTGAAGATGATGAAGAGGCCAGGGTTTTTATGGGGGCTAACGGTTTTGTTGAAGGACTAATGCGATTTCTAGAGTCGGCTGTGCATGAACGGAATGCAATAGCTCAAGAAGTTGGGGCAATGGCTCTCTTTAACCTTGCTGTCAACAATAACAGGTATGTTGCTCATGTCTTATGCCTTTGCTTAGTTAAACCCGGAGATGAATCGTTATGAGCAATACGTGTTATTTAATATTAGCACTGTTATTCATATGTCTGTTCGGCGTTATGTATGCCATTATTAAGATGAATCTTTTGAATGTTCTTGTTTTCCTCTAATAAATATCAGGAACAAGGAATTGATGTTAGCGGCTGGAGTGATTCTATTGCTGGAGCGTATGATTTCCAACTCAAACGCCGATGAATCGGCAACTTCTCTGTATCTTAATCTCTCTTGCTTTGAGCGAGCCAAATCGATCATAGGCTCAAGTAAGGTTGTCCCCTTTTTAGTCCAGCTACTAGGAGGTGATACTGATGCACAATGCAAGGTTGATGCCCTTTACACGCTTTATAATCTTTCAATCGACCACTCCAATATTCCGAGCCTTCTTTCTGCTGGCATAGTTAATCGCCTCCAGTCACTTGTGGTCTCAGGTGACCATACCTGGACGGAGAAATCCATTACGGTTTTGCTAAATTTAGCTTCAAGTGAAGCAGCAAAACGAGAGATGGTATCAGCCTCTGGTCTCATAACTGGCCTTGCAACTGTTCTGGATACCGGCGAACCCGTCGAGCAAGAGCAAGCAGTTTCATGCCTCTTACTCCTTTGTAACGGAAATGACAAATGTAGTCAATTGGTCCTCCAAGAAGGCGTGATCCCCGCATTAGTCTCGATGTCGGTTAATGGAACAACGAGAGGGAGGGAGAAGTCGCAAAGACTTCTGGCTCTCTTCCGAGAGCAACGCCAACAAGATCATCCGCCTGCAGACCGTCACCGAGGAGTACTAGAAAGCAGTCGAGACCCTCCACCTGCTTCGTCATCAGCTCCGGAATCAAAGCCACTAAGTAAGTCTACATCAAGAAGAAAAGTGCGGAAAGGCTTGAGCTTTCTATGGAAGAGCAAGAGCTACTCTTCATCCGCTCACTTACGTTGAAAAGCGTGGCTAGGGGCTGTAAATTTCCCTTTTATCATTTTTTTTACATTTCTCATGTCCTGTTCCATTGGACCCTTTTTTTATATTTTATTTTCTTTTGGTCACTAAAGAGAATCAGAAATGTACAGCCCCTTTGTAATCTATGGATTCTTTTAGGTCCTGAATTGTAATACATGTATAATATGTTTACATAATTTTTGAGTATATATTACTATTTTTTGGTATCTTTCATATTTATTTTATAATTTATATTTAAAACCAGTGATTATTTTGAAATGATATTATTTTTAAGATTCAAATTTAAGATTTAGAAACCTTAAATCTTATAAATAATTATTTATAATTCACATCAAAACGAAATTAAAAGATAATGCAACATATTAACCTCATTGATTTTTTTTAAAAGGGTAGGCATTAGACAATTTAATAATATTCTGAAAAGAAAATAACAATTGTAAGTGGGTAAGAGCGACTAAAACTCGATTGAAAAAATTGAATTTGTTAATTTAATTCGACGTTAAAAAACTCGATTTAACTTAATTCTACTAAAATTTTAAATACGTTTAAGATATAAAGTATGACTTGAATAACTCAAATAACTATTTTCAAGTTAGAGTGGAGTCTTTAACTCTACATAATACACGAATATTGTATAAAAAATATTAAAGAATGTATATATATATGCTATTACTTGTCTTTATGATGAGTGACACATAGATAATTAGAAACAAGGACCCTGAATCCACCAGGGGTGGAGTAGGACATGTGGATATGCATGTCCATTCGACCCGGCCTCAGCAAAGCCGGGTCAAGCTTGTCTTTATAATTTGTTGTAAACACTATTATTCTCTCGTCTCCACAGCTTGACCATAGCCCGTCGATGAAATTAAGCAACCCTGATAAAGTTCTCTGTCATGACGATAGATATTAGCAACAGTTTAGTGATTAATGGAACTTGTCTAGCCTTATTATGTGATAAAATAAATCACGATAATCACCTATGGTTTCGCTTACCTTGTTGTCAGTACCAGGCTCAGATCTCTCATCTTGTCTATTCTGGAGGTCAATGCTGCAATCGATTTCCTCAATCACAACCACTGATCGATGTTTGGTTGAAACCAACAACCTTCGGAGATCCGAGTTGTTATAAATGCTCGTGAGTTCGAGGTCATAGATATCAAATGTTAGGTAGTTGGCCTTGGCAGCAATCAGGCTTGACTTGCCTGTCCCGGGAGGACCATACAGTAAGTACCCACGTTTCCATACTTTTCCTACTCTTTTGTAGTAATCCCTTCTTCGAACAAATCTGTCCAAGTCGTCTATTATCTCTTTCTTGACTGCAGGATCTATTGCCAGTTTATCGGAAGTCGATGGATGGTCGAGATTGGTCGATCCCCATGTTCCATCGTTGTCGACACCAAAGTGTCCGAGTGAAAGGAGTTTCACCGCCGTCTTTTCTTCTTTGATGGCTTTCGACATCTCAATTACATATGGCAAGTAAGAATTTATTACCTTTTCCATGCATTTGTTATGAAAACTGAGCTCAAGCACTCTATTTTCATGATTTCCTTGATGACGCGTTTCCTTTGTTATGGCTTGAACCTCCCTAACCACGCCTCGGACCAGCATGGCCAATGCAGTGAATGTAGTGTATGTCGAGAGGACTGATGTCGTTGAAGGAATGTTTTTGACATAGAACATCTTGAGAATCTTAGGGTGATTAAATTGATAATTTGAAATGCAGGAAAGGGTATGATTTTCACTAATGTTTTATTTAGTTAATATTTTGTTATTAATTAACCGGTGTTAGTTCTTTTTATAGTGCTAATTTGAGTTATTTATGTTTGAATATGTGCAGGACTCTATTTTCCAAGAGAAATTTTGGGCAGACCATAATTCTTTAGGAATTAAAAATTATAATTAAATTTAAACATTTGAGATTTATTATTTAATTAATTAGGAATCTAATTTGCTTATAATTTCAATTAGGATTTTAATTATTTATTATTAGGATTTTAGTTTACTATTAATTAGAAATTAAGTGTTTTAATTTTCTTGAGAGTTAATATTTTATTTTCATTATGTTATCTCAAAGTTATAAATACCTCTAGGGTGAAGCTTGGAACATGTTCATATTTCAGTATAAAACTGATTTTGACTTTTTCTTTGTTTCAATTTCTTTCAATAAAATTATTTTTTCTCATCTTTTTTTCTCTTTCACACGCCAAGTATGAATTCTATCATATTTGGCTAAAAATTTTCTTAGCTGATAGCTAAGATACGACTCGATTTGATCTTGTGAGAATTGCAAAAGCGCTTTACATCCCCAGGTTCTTTCTTGATTTTCGACTTTCATGGAGAGGCAATCGGCATTTTCTTTAAGCATCTCAATATCTTTAATCTAAGGAGTGCATATTGGCTTGATCGATGTTGTGACCTACAGTTGGGGTGGAGAGTCGACTTGTAGCAAATTCAATTCCCTAAAAACAAACTTAACAGCAGTCTACTAAGAAAAATCAAGATCGAGTTCGATTCTCATCGAGACACCATAATCTAAGTGTGGGCTTTTCCATTTCCTAAACCAGCATTGACGTCAATATCGATAGTCGATATTAATCTATTTCATTGATCGAGACGGATCGAGACAAAGTGAATTGGAGGCTATCTCTCATCTTAATTAATTCTCTACAATTTACTTTTCTTATTTGTATTGCTTTCACTTTAGTTTTATTTTATTTAGTTACTCGATTATTCAAAACCCTCTTTTTAATTCTTTTGTTTTACATATTTCTTGGTTAGCATCAAATCAAAGTCTAAATTAGAAATTTCTGAATCCCTGTGGACCGGCCTCTTTTTCCTTATTCTACGTTTATAACTTACTTATCTGAGAAAAAAAATTATTTATTTGAAAATTACGACGTGGTTAGATTTTTAGATTTTCAACTATCATAAAATATCATTGGCTTTTTATACATGGGAGATTTCTTGTGTTGCAAGCTACTCAAGCTCCCATTGGTTAAGCTTCCCCCTTTCCGGGCGCCCGCGGTCAATAAGTAATATTGCGCGACAAGACAACTATAGGTGCCTTCGTCAATGCTATGTTTAATATTTTCTTCGCCAATGCTATAAAAATAAAATGATAATCCACAAAAACTTGAAACAAACCTCATTTTTCTAATGATTTTTGCCTTCTTTCTCATCTTAATAACCTTATCAATTTCACCACCCGTCTCTTTTTCCTTGCTCTTATTTTCGTACTCATTTCTTCCATTTCCGTCCTCTAACCCCGCCTCTATTCCGTCAGAGTCGAAATTTTCCGACTTCGATTTCTTGTGTTGAAGAAACTTAACGTGTCCATCGAGGGCTACATCGATATCTTCACTCTTCATAAGCTCTTCCGCGACTTCTGCAGGAGTTGCCTCCACTTGCATCATCAGTTCATCAATTTCATGGAACATATTATGATCAGAAATGCATAGATAATTCGAGGCAAGAACTCTAAATCCACTAGGGGTGTAGTAGGACAAGTGAATATGCATGTCTATTCGACCCGGCCGTAGCAGAGCAGGGTCGAGCTTGTCTTTAGGATTGGTTGTGAACAGTATTATCCTCTCATCTCCGCAGCTCGACCATAGCCCGTCGATGAAATCGAGCAACCCCGATAAAGTTAACTGTCATGAAGATAGATTACGGTGTTTGTTCAACATAAATGTAAAAGTACAATATACGTAACGTATTATTGAGAATGATGTACTTACTTGTTCTTTAGTATCCTCCTCAAATCCGTCGTATTCCCCAAGCTCGAATCTCTCGCTTTGTCGATTATGAAGCTCAATGTTGCAATCAATATCCTCGATCACAACCATTGATCGATTTCGGGTCGAAATCAACAACCCTCGAAGCTGCGGATTGTTTAGACTGATGAGTTCAAGGTCATAGACGTCGAATTTTAGGTAGTTGGCCATGGCAGCAACCAAACTAGACTTGCCTGTGCCAGGAGGACCATAGAGCAAGTACCCTCGTTTCTATGCTTTCCATACTCTTCTGTAGAAATCTCTTCGTCGAACGAATCTGTCCAAATCATCGATCAACTCTTTCTTCACCGCCGGATCTATAGCCAGTTTATCAAACGTCACCGGATGGTCGAGATTGGTCGATCCCCATGCCCCATGTCCGTCACAAATGAAGTTCTTGAGTGAAAAGAGTTTCATCACTTTATTTTCTTCTTTAATGGCCATGGATCTCTCCATTACATATGGAAAATAAGATATTGTCACCATTTCCATGCATTTATTATTGAAACGAAGCTCAAGTACTCTATTTTCATTCCCTCTATTTCTTTGGGGATTCCCTTGATGACCATATTCCTTCGTCTCAACACATATCATCTCCCATTTGAGTTTGATTCCTTCATATACGTCAATAACCTTTTGACCTTTGTGTATGATCATTGTTACCTTCGATGAATGACACAAAATTTTATGTTACAAAATAAATTATGTGAAAATTCGACTCGTTAGCCTCCTTAGGTCATCTTTAATTACCTTGTTGTCTCTCGAAACCTTGAAAGCCTTAACTCTCTCCATTGAGGTCGATATTTTCGTCCATATATTAGTCTCGGAAGCTTCATACAGTTCGTTGATATTGAACCCTTCGTATTTGTTGATGACGAGAGTCATTTGGTGTTGGATCCCTCCTTAATTGGATAGGTTCTAGAAAATTCTAGAGCTTTCTGGAGAAGTGTATAATTTTATAAAATATTTTGGAGAATTCTAGAGAAGTGTAGAACTCTCTAGAAGCTTGTGGAAGATAGTGGAATCCTCTGGAATATTCTAGAGATGTGTGAAACCTTATAGAGAGTATGGAAGAATATGGAAGGGAGTGGAAGAGTGTAGAGTTCTTAGAGTGTGTGAAGCATTTTAGATAATTAATATCCACCCTTGGATGTAAGTAATCTCCACCACTCATTGTGGAGGTGGAGTAGTATAAATAGGGGTGAAAGACTTCATTCCTAACCATCCAAGAAATCCAAAAATACTAAGAGAGTTCATTTCTTAGAGTGAGAAACTAGTGAGTTAGAGAGCCTCTTTGGGAGAATAGAGATAGTTTGGGAAGTCTTTATCATCAAGCTTAAGTGAGCCACCAAGTGTAAGTCAAATTTGTGAACATATCCTTGTAATCCTATTATTCTTTTGTATAGTGGAAGAATCTCCAAATTGTAAAATTATACTCTTGTGCATTTCGGAGATGTTCGGGGATAAGCTGGCTCACTATGGCTTGAAACTCGCTAACCACGCTCCGGGCCAACATGGTCGATGCCGTGAATGCAGTATACGTCGAGAGGACTGATGATGTAGAAGGAATGTTCTTGACGGAAAATATGGTTAAAGAAATGTGGATGATCGTGTTGATGTGTTGAGAGATATAGAAGAAGCTACGAGATTCGGAGGTTTAATGTTTTGATTATGTATTTATCATTAGTTTCCGATTTGAGTGAAATTCTTAGTTTGGATTTTAAATTAACAGAATATTTTGGTTAATATTTCCTAGTCATGTATCTTAATTTAGATTTTAAATCGATAGAATATTTGAAAAGATGGTATTTTTAATTCAAATTTTCAAAAATTAATCTTGTTTTTAATTATTTATTTATTATTATAATTTCAATTTCAAATCTTTGTTTTTGGAATATTTAATTTAATTTAATTCAAATTTAAATTTTAAATTAATTCAACTAATTCGATAATTAATTTTAGATTTTACATTGATTGAAGTCGTTTTCTCTCTCTCTCTAAAAGGTAGGTTAAAACATTGAGCGTACTCAATGGAATAAGCTACATGCGGTACAAGTTGAATATGATGGTGAGCTCCGAGCTAGGAACTTCCGTCATCTTGATCAGTTAGGATAATGTCAAATCAATCATTAGAAAAAGATAAAAGAAAAAAAAAACCAAAGAGTCAAAAACATAAAAAAATGTGTCATAAAGGCGATAAAAACGTGCACATGTAGATTTATTGAAAATCAAAAAACAAAGAAAATAAAGATATGATATAGAGAAGAAAAGGCAATAAAGGATATCAGCAATCGGCAGCGAATACTAAAGTTGGTGCCGCCACCGCCAATTAACAAAGACAAAAAAGAAAAGAGATGAACGGTACACTAATGAGAGAAAATTAAGTTTTTTTTCTATTGGATTTATTTTTCTAAAATTAATTAAAAACGATAGTCTTTAATCTACAGACTCTCAACTATTTGATGACGAAAGTTAAAATCCTGCAATTGTTGGTGCTCAAACCCAAAACCTCTAAAAATAACAATCTTCCCTTCAATAACATTAACTATAATATTCAATATATATTGCTATGATCAAAATCTTAAATATACGATTTTTTCCAATAATTTAACGTGTCCAATCCTCCCTCTAAAATCTGGATCAATTTATTTTCTCTACTAGTTGCCTAGATTTCTTTTATTTAATTATTGGTATTTAATCTATTAATTAATTATTTTAAATCGATTTTTACTAAAGTCATTAGATCAATTTATTTCATTCATAAATACTAAAATTTAAAATTTTAACCTTATTTATAAGATCTAATGTTTATCTACTACACCGATTAATTGTCAGTTACCCTAGAATTTAATAGATAGCGAGAACATGAAGGCTATTAATTTTAGCGGGAATAACACTTAGGGTGCGTTTGGATGGGGGAAAAGAAGATTACCGGGGGAATTTTTTTTTCAGAATGTGATACCTATGTTTGGATTGCAAAGATTCCCAATAAGGGGTAATAAGTCATTCCCAATAGTGACATTTTGAGGGCTTATTACTGGGAATGTCATTTCTCCCAATCCTTAGGGGTGTGTTTGGTTCACGGAATGTAAGATTACCAGTTGAAATAAAATATTACAAGGGAATAGGATTACTGGGAATATTACATTACTTTGTTTGGTTGGTTTGACAGGAATGTAAGATTACAGTGTTTGATTGAAGGAATAAAAGATTACTGGAATGTATATTTTACCAAATTGTCCTTGTTTTATATTTTTTAACAAGTGAAATTCTAAATATTTAAATAAAAAATATTTATATAAAAATTCTATCTGTTGATAATTACTTGAGTATTTAAATATATCATGTATTATTTTAATTTTAATTAATAAATTTCACATAATTTATGTAAAAATATATTAAAATTTTATTTTTTCTATTTTATTTTCATGTTCGATTTTGTCTCGAATTGTTATTTTGCGTAACAATCTTAAGACAAAGTAAATTCTTTCTTTCTGTTTAATTTTATAATGATATTTCAATCATTATTATTTTTCATTTCATTCTCGGATTAATGAATTTTTTCCAACAATCTTAAGACATGTTATTATCTCATTATTCTACCTTTCTTAATCCGAGATAATTCAAAAATTATGAGAAAATCGAAATAACAAATAAATGTGTTTCGAGATTTATCATGTTGTCTTAACAAGTTTGTTAAAATCTCAAAGTGGACAAACATATATAATAGAAATTATCGTGAACGTAACTTTGGTTTCTTTTATCGACAAAAGTCAAATTTTATTAATAAAGACCAATCTAGTTCAAAGCCTCATTAAAAACCTCTATAAACCTAATTAGAGGAAAGAGTACTTTGAACCGAGCATAAGAAAACACATTAATATATTAACTACCTAAAGCATATAACATCCAAGCAACAAGAGAATAAAACTTAACTAAACTACATAGAATTACAATCTGGGATTTTAAACCCAAATCACTAGCAACCCTTAAACCTCTTGGACACACACAAGGACAACAACTCTAAATAGGACACACAAAAACACAAACAAATTTAACACCACATGTACGCTAATTATCAGCCAAAACCAGCATAACACATCACAACAAGATCGCACTATGTAGAGGCAAACTAATTTGCAGTAGCGAAAACTACAAGTAAAGAACATCTTGAACAGCAGAACAAACAATAATCTCAATAACTTCAAAACCTTTTATCCAGCGGAGAGCAACCACAAAGAACCTTACACCTCGTGACTTCAAAACAAGATTCCAAGCATTAAAAATCTTAAGACGACCACACTTTACACACATGAAAGCATAGACCTCGAGAGCTTCATCTTAGACGGAATTAATTTCGACGGAAGTCATTTTTGTTACTGCACTCGAAACCGATTGCCATTTGATCGAGCAATTTGCTTTCATGAGACTCGCAGATTGGTTCTCCTCGTGATAACCTTTTTCCTTGCATTTATCCAGTACATTTCTGGTTGGTCTTGCAAGGAAGCTCCAATCACTTCAAGCCAATGGAAGTACTTTGCATTCATTAACAATCTATCAAATCCAGAATTTGAAAAACATCAGCAAAGATAAGCCAGCTTAACTATATCAACTACTAACCCTTCAAAATCATTCTTAGTTAATTACCTGTTTGATCAAAGTTGCATTGCCAGTCGGAGGAATCGACTTTTGTCTGAAAGCAGAGTAACAAATAGGGACATAGATTCATCTTCCCTCAACAACTCATCGACAATGGAATTCACATATATATTCGATGCATAAGGGCTTACAATCACTATAGTTGCAATTCACAAAGCTGGAGTATTGAACTGATCTCTGCAAATAAAACAAAGAACATTAGAAATCATAAAGAAATTAGATGATCGAGGATAGTTAAAAAAATGGATGTTCAGAAGTCTGTAGCTCACACTAATAGTTTTTCCTAAAATTCTTTGGATCCTCCTGGTCCTCAACGGGTAAGCACCAACCAACATAACATAAAGAGTCACTCCACATGACCATACATCTGTCATCTGAAAAAGGAATGCAATCCTAAAATTAATCAGAAACAAAAATGAGAAGACTTTATCTCTGCTTTGGAAAGACTTAAAAGAAATCCAGACCTCGGTTTCTCTTTGCCAAATATCTTAGGAGCTATTGCTTTCATGATCGTTAAAATGAAAACCTTCATGATAAAGTGCACTACTAGTAGATATCCAACCAATTGATAAATATTCTGAGCAATTGATCTTTAACCAAGCTTATAATCACCCTCAACAATTCTTAAAATTATCAAGTAACATCTGTCTATCTTTATTCTTTAGAACAGTAAGTTAAGGCATCAACCACTCCATCATAAAACTATTTAGCATAATAATACAATCATAACTGAAAACCCTAGTCTCGTAAACAAGCCACTACAACAATATTTGAAAAAAGTAGATAAAGACTAAAGTACCTTGCCATCGTATTCTCTCCGAGAAAGAACTTCGGGCAATATAAGCCGGAGTACCAACCGTTGACTTGGGTCTTGAATGCAACAGAGATGACTAAAAGGGGTAGAAGGAAACATCTTAAACAACAACAATTTTGACATGCATTTAATTATGTTGACTGTAATAATCCTATTTTTAGTATTACCTTTGAGTAACCAAAATCACAGATTTTCAGACGAGGAGCAGGGCTCCCATCCAACAAGGTATTCTCTAACTTCAAATCTCGATGGCATATTTGCTGAAAGTCAAAATGGGTAAATATGAGAAGCTTGCCCAAAAATAGGGACAACTGTAACATCCTGTAATAGAATGTTAAAATCTTATTTACCATGGAATGACAGTAGCTAACTCCTGAGATCAGCTGCTGGAAAAAATATCTGGCCTGAAACATCACATTAGACAGATCACCGCCAGTGGAAAGCTAAAAAAACATGAAGCATCCCACATCTTACTTAGACAGTAATGAAGGATTATTCAATGATAAGATGATACATTTCATCTCATACTAGTTCCTTCATCAATTAAGAGGGAAAAAGGAAAATAACAAATGTAGCCAGCAACAAGTAAAAGAACTCAAACTAACGTAAACGTCATCAATCTCCCCTCTTTCTTTTCTTTCCGCAGAAGAGCATATTTTCAATAGGCAAACATATGAATCGTATTATGGAAGTAGCTTGCACTTGGAGACGAAGCAAACACAGAGCCAAAGAATTGGGAAAATCGATTCATAATTCGAAAATGATTGTGGAAATCAGGGGGACTTACGGTTGAGAGCTGAGGAGGAGGCGGATAGAGGATATGATTGAGAGGCGGATACTGGTCCAGGAGATAAGGCAAAAACATGTACTCGGTTCCCTGGTACCCTTTGATCCCATCCAATGTTCGCATCTCAGGGTTGAGACCGCACAACACGAAGTACTCAAATAAGCTATATACCTTCTTAGTTCATCGCCATTTCTTTCCAATGAATACTGGAAGCTGTGCAGGAATTCTTTCATCTCCACCCATGTCTTTATGCAACAAATTCATTAGTTCCGAATGAACATATATTTCTGACTTAAGCTTCCATCTGCTTGAAACAGCTGCATCGGCATTATCCTCATCATAATTTTCTATCAACCATAACCAAGCAGAGAGAATGGTACTTTAGACAACAGGATCGGGAATAAACAAATATCTAAGAGAGATGAGGGTATGACATTCCCGGGAAAGTAGGAAAAAAATACCACTGTTGGTATTCATTCATTCCCTGCACTTGGGAATGTAGTCCATCCAAACATGGGTATATTTACCTGGAAAAAAACATTCCTCCCAAAAATGAAATATGACGTGAACCAAACGGAGTCTAGGTATTAATCTTTTCCCATGATTTTTGACTAAAATGACTTTAAAACAATTTTTTTTTCAAAAATATCATTCTCCTATCCGTTGATAAAAAAATTCTATGAAAGGTAAATTACAAATTTATCCTTAAACTATTTTAGATTTACAAAAAAAAATCTACAATTAAAATTTTATATGAAGTTCAAAAGTTAAAATAAAATTAAACCTTTTTATTAAACTAATTTATCTTTTAAATTTTGAAAAAAAATTATATAAATTATATAAATTTATTTTTTTAAAAAGAAAATATATAAATTTAAAATAATAAAATTATATATTTTCTATGATCTTTTGTACAAATATTTTCTTTTGAATATTTATAATTCAACTTGTTTAAAAAACAAATATATAACAAGGATAATTTAATAAAATATATATTCCAGTAATCTTTTATTCTTTTAACTAAACATATTAATTTTACATTCTGACTAAACAAATCAAACACAACAATACAATATTCCCGGTAATGTGTTAGGTATTGTTACATTCTAGTAATCCTATTCCCGGAAGTAATGTTATATTTCATGAACGAAATGCACCCTTAACGGTTATAAGAACATGCAAATTTGGTCCCCACGTGGCAAAATAATAAAATGCCACGTACTACTCTCTACTGCTCGAGTGAAATTATTCATGAAAAACGAAATGAAAAATCAGTATAAAAGAAGCTAGAAAATGGAATTGGATTCTGTAATATTGGAGATGGAACCACAAACGTTAAAAGATATTCTCAAGTTTGCTCTATCACTTTCCAGCTCTCTCATTCACCGGTAAAACTCCTTCCTCTTCTTTTTCTTGCGCATAATCGCAGAAAATCCCAAGTGCTCATCAATCGATTGATTTTGAGGAATTTTCTCTTCTTTTTCCTTTTTCAAATTTGAATAAAAAAATGCCTAAACAGGAAACTTGGATTGGTAACGCTCCAGTTCGACCTCGATCTCGATTTTGTATTTTACGTTTTTGGATACTTTTCTTGGTGAATTTGTTCTCTCTTTTTTTTTCTAGTAATATTCTTTACTTTGGCTTTGATGGTACGACTTGTTTGTGAAGGTTTTGAGTTCTGGGTTTGCATTTAATAATGCTGTTTTCTTCTTGCCTTCTCATAGTTCTTTGTTGCAATTATTATGGAATTCGGCTCAGGTTTTATTTTAATAAAACTTTTGATTTGCGTTTGTTGATTCTATCAGAATAGACACGTTAAAGCTAAAGGGTCTTTTTGTTTATCTTTGAAAAGTTCATTTAATTTGTTCATGTGCTTCATTTATTAGGATTTTAGCTTATAGGGAATTCTGGATAATGTTTGTTTTGCAGATTGTTTGGGCTGGGAAACTTGTTATTATGCTTCTCTCAAATTCCATATGCACCAAATTCATTTATGTTCGAACTTATGCATGATTTTTAACGCAGGCATTCCCGGTGATGGGAGATGTTTGTTCCGGTCAGTAATTCGCGGCGCTTGGCTGAGTTCAGGCAAGCAGTCTCCGACTGAGAGCCGCCAGAAGGATCTTGCTGATGAACTCAGAGCTAAAGTACATTTCTATTCTACTTTTTTCACAATGTGTCTGATTCCATTTACATCAAAGCATCATTTGGATTTTAGTTCTACTCACTGCCGAATTCAATATAACTTGGATGGAATTTGCCGGAATTTTCAATTTTTCTGCTACCCCTTTTCAGTTTTCGTGTTAGCTGCAGATGTCTTTCTTGCTTTATCTTCATTTCGAACCACTTTCGATCTACCACAACTCGGGTTGATTTAGCTGCATTTGGTTTTTATGCAATCTGTTTTCTTTTTGTGTTAGCTGAAGATGTCTTTCTGCTTTAACTTTGCATCGGCACTATATAAAAGGTTACATGTCTTGATAGGTTGTAGATGAATTCATCAAGAGGCGAGCCGACACCGAATGGTAAGCATTTTTCTCTTTTCTAATGAACCTTTGTTGTCAAAACTGGGGCACCACAAGCAAGTAAATCTTTAAACTTTTGCAGGTTCCTCGAGGGTGATTTCGACAACTATGTCTTGCAGATGCGGCAGCCTCATATCTGGGGAGGAGAACCCGAGCTGCTCATGTGCTCACATGTCTTACAGTGAGTTGTTCCTTGCTCAAATGAAACTTCTTTGCTATCAATATATCAAAATTTTCTCATCTGTCAATATATATATTTCACACACAGGACCCCTATAACAGTTTACATGAAGGATAAGAATTCCGGTACCCTCAAAATTATATCCGAGTACGGTCAGGAATACAGTAAAGAAAACCCCATCCGAGTTCTATATCACGGTTGCGGGCACTATGATGTATTGATGAGTCCAGTAAGCAGTGCCTCTTCTAGACTGTAAGATATGCCCCTTCACTTGTTTTATACTGGTTTTTCACCCTTCGTTAGTACCTGTATGTGAATCAAGCATAAGGTCATATACTCCGATCATTGAAATTAGAAATCGGTTCAACCCGAAGCATAATGTAGTTAGTTCATGCAGTCATTCTTAAGAAACGGTATTCGTCAGGTCTACGGTTATGAACATTGATAGTAGTCTGCTTGCTAAATTTGGCAGGTGGAAGAGAAGATGACTTGGGGATAATTGCACTGCAAAATGGGTGATGCTAGGCCTTATGTACTCTAAATAATCTTATGTGAAATGGTCTATTGAAAATTTGATCATGTGATTCAGATTAATGGTCCTTGACCGTATGAATGAACCCTTAAATATCATATAACATGTAAAGAAGATTTTAAGGTATCTTTGCAATCATCTTCCCTTTTACTAGCAACCGTGCAATAGGCGATACGGATTCGTAGTCCGAACATATGTAGGATGACCCATAGGAAAATACCTATTTTTGCTCAACTCCAACAAAACTCAACAGCTTAATAAACCAGCCTATGATCACACGCATATATACAAAAACATGTTTGGTGAAAGTACAGGGGGAGGGAAAAGAAACATTGCTACTCATCATCCTTCCATATCTCTCGGATTAGTTCATATCTAACGACTTTCCGGCCTCCCTTTCCCGTTCTCATCTGATTGGGTTCTTTTGAAGTGGGAGAACTGCGGGGTTTCTCGATCATGATCGAGGTAATGGGTGAATCCAATTCATCGAGCTCATCATCACTAGTGTATGATTTTCTAAGCACCAATGACCGACTCCTTTCCATGGTTTGACCGACTGTAATGTCCTTTAGGGAATTATTGGAAGGTGGCGAATAGACTATAGGAGTAGCCATACATGGGAAGTTTGTAACCGAATCTTCTCCGGCCTCGGAAAGGTCCTGATTGAGAAGAAAACGAAAACCGAGTGCCATAAACTCGCAACTGTGCAGAGTGATGAAAGAAATGGAAAAGCTGTATTTTAAGCAAACAAATTGTATCTTGTTTTACAACAAACCTCCTCCAATGCTTCAAAAACTGCCTGTGAAACTGGATTCGGGTTGAACTCGTCGGGTACAAACTTGTTAAGAACTCTGATGATCAGGGGGGCACTGAACATAGGGCATACCTACAGCATTAAAATTCGAAGGGAAGATGAGGTATAATAGAATATATAGATATATATTATTACTTATGGAAATTAAAATGAACGTTTTAATAAGTTCAGAACTATACCTCTTTCCTAGTGGACCTATCCACAAGCATCTCGGATGGAAGCATCATAAGATCACTCAATGCATTTAGGAGGCAAAAAGGCTTAAAGGAACCGTCACATACAGCATTTTTGCGGTCGCCTACTTCCTCGCTGTCTTCGGGACTCTCATTGTCATCGATACCAAACAGATCTGTCAGCCATCTTGACCAGTTTCCAATCTGGCAACACAATGACAGAAATGTAATATATGTCTACGTTCTTATGTCATTATTCAAGCAACTTCATTGAAGCAATTTCAAATCCTAATCTCGATCTTTTATTATCTGTTGACATAACATTTGGAGCAAGGAACCACAAGGTGCAGACATTTCACTTTCTTTAAATGAGTAATAATTCTGTGACTGACAAACAGCATCTGATATGTTACATAGATAAGATCTCGCACGTCAAGGAGGCAATTTAAAGTATTAAGGTAGCTACATAGAAAGAATTCAAAGAACTCCGTTACTCACGGCATTTTTTAGCTGTACACCTGCCCCAAAACTTGATTTTCCTGCAGGAATGGGAAGAACCTTTGAATCGCTTATTGGATCGGAGATGGGATCCATTGGCATTTCATCAGCTGATTCACGAAGAATAGTATTGAACATTGCAACATCTAATCTACTAACCAATTGCTCCATTACCTAATGATGGAACAGACGACAATGTCTCTATCAAATTTGCATTTCAACAGCAATATCAATTAGATAATAAAACCATAAGAAACAAGGACATGTCCTCCATGCATATGTGAAAACAAACTATATAGTATATCATAATACCAGTTTAGCCAGCACAGCTAAGCAGCCGCATTCGTGGCCGCATGCCCGAAGGGGACAAAGCCTTTCACAGGCATCTTTAAAAGCCTTCTTCCAAAGCTCAACTGATAAGTTCCCCTGCTCTTGATCACCTAATCCATGTCTTCGGCCTGAGGTTTTCCTTGAGCTTGAGCTCTTCGCAGCAGCAGACTGCATATATGGAGTCAAAGTCTGGCAAGTATATAGAAGGAAATAATGTCAGGTTATGACCTCTGAAGATAAAATGATGTGAGCTTAAAGAAAGGATTGACCTGCCACCAGACAGATTCGATTATTCTGGAGAAGAGCCAAGCTTCAAACTTTTGCAATGCGAGTGAAAATGTCTGAGGATCCACCCAGTCATCTGAACTTTTTGAACATAGCTGCATTTCCCCAATAGTGTGGGTAACAGTTGCTCTCAATACAATTGTATTTGATAACCAGAAGGTTAACCTAATAAAATGGTAAAGAAATGAATATCAGGTTAAAGGTGCAAAGAGAGAAGCATTATGCAACAGATTACTAATTTTTATTTTGTACAGCATGCAAACCAAATTAACATCTTTGAAAAAAGAAAAGGAAGAATCTAAAATCCCCCAGATTTATTTTCTAAAAAGAAAAAAATTGCGGAAACTATTAGTGCACACCTTGGAACATCATTTCCACATGCTTTAGAGATCAAAACCAATCCTGAAATAGCAGCCCTTGCAGCACTTGCCCTCTTATCTTGGGTATTTGCTCTACAAGCATGAAGATAGAATCTAGAAAGTCGTCTAGCTGGGGCATGAACCTTGTTTGTAGAACTTCCATGCTCTGCAGCAACAGAATAAAGACTAGCCTCGAGAACTGCAGCTTCTCTTAATTCTTCTTCAAGCATTTCAATTTTGGAGTACAGTTCAACTTTGCTGTTGGAAAAGCTCTTTGCATTTTCTTTGCTTTTATTACACGTATCACTTGTAGAACTATTATGAATCTTTTCAGAAATATCATTTTCCTTTACCCTCTTGACCTGAGTTTTCTTTAGTAGCCCATGACTGTTTCCCGACTTAACTTTGCTGTTAGAAAAGCTGTTTGCAACTTCTTCCCTTTCACCCAGTATGTCAGTTGTGGTACCATTAGAAGTCTTATCAGGGATAGGATTCTCCTTAACCTTCTCCATGAACTGGATGTTTGACGGTCCAGTGCTCTTAGCTTTGTTAACATGTAACTGAACAGGTGTCACGTGATTTTGTCTACCATTCGGAGGGAAACCACCTTTCAGTTCAATTGTTGCCCTACTGGCTGCAAAAGTGTTACTCCTCAATGCGACTTGCTTTCTCGGAGAATCCTGAGGAGGTCTAAAACCTAACCTCTCCTGCAGAGAATATTCCTCGGGACCCAAAATCTGGCTATCCAGCTCATCATCCCATGATGACTTTTCAGCATTTTCCTCCCAATGACGAACACGTGAATTGGTACTTAAATATCTGTCTACATGGCTTTGGTCATGTCTCCTGGCTTTTCTAGCATCCTCTGTCTTTCTTTGGGAGTCTTCATCTTTTGCATTATCTGAGTTCACATCTACAGGAATGGCAACACGGGCCTTCGAGGATGAAACTTTACCCGTGTGATGAGTTACAGGATTCTCGGGATTGGAGGACAAGTGCTTTGAAGATGAAGGAGATGCATTCCCATTCAATTGCTTGAATACTTCACCCAATGTACTTACCCCTGAGTATGCACTTGTTCCATCAGAAGGAAAAGCGAGTCCAGGCCTTGCTATCCCGCCATTCACTGGTTCTGATCCAATCTGTAGTCAATGGTGACTTGCAATCAAACATTCAGAAATATATACTTTGCTAGGTTGATGACAGTCATCAAATTAACCGGAAATTACAACAGCCCAATAATAGAATCATGCTTGTACATAGAAACTTCAATCCAGTGTCTGTCCAAAGCTAACATATAGACTATCATAAAGCAGTAACAATAAATTTTGGTCATGTTATTGCTCCAAGTGATTTTCAGGTCAGGGTATGGCCTAATTGCCATCATTATTCAGAACGATGCATATGCTCGGTAAAAGTAATTTCAAATAGCAACAGCATAATACAGAATTATCAATGCATAATTGTTTCTTATTCGCATGAAAGCTTTACTTATGGCAATGCTTCAAGAATCCTTGAGTCTGCCAAGACAATTTCAGAAATCTTAAAGCCAACTCAATTTAAAACCACTAATTCAAGGACATTATAGAGACAATTCAATGTAAATGGAAACAAATAACAAAAGGAGAAGAATGAACTCAAATACCTTATCATGTTGATTACGTGAGCCCCCAGAAGGATCAAAAACAGAAGAAGAAACAGTCTGAGATGAATGTGAAGAAAGATTATCATCATCAGTTAAAGAGGCAATCTCTGCTTCTTCATATATCGATTCGGAAACAGAGTCACTCCCATCCTTATCAAGTGACGGTCCTTTTGGCAAGCTGCCTCTCGCTGACGAGACGGAGCTACCTTTATCAAACGGTTGGATATTAAGATAAAGAACAGGCTGTTCCGGGATCCCAGTCTTTGAACTCTTCTTCAAGTTAATAGGAGTGGCAACACTTATAGTTTCCATGATAATCCCATAATCAGCGAGGTTTACAACAGCAGACCCTAAAAGTTGACCCTTTGCATTTTTGTCCTTTCGAGGCTCATACAAGTAGAACTCCAAACAGTTCTTCTGGAAACCATCACGGTTGGTGCTCCTACGGGATGATTCCAGAGATAAAGTTACCGGAAGCCTGAAATACTCGCCGAACTCGATTTTTCCATTCCCATTACAAGAAACCAAGGACCCGGAATTCTTATCACCATTTTCCCATTGAAGCAACATAGATTGAGGCGATGGCAAAGACTGCAATGCTGTCCAAGGACTAATTTCCTTAACACATACAATGTAATGAACCCGATAGGAGTCCCCTTTTCTCTTCTTAGTTCCCAAGCCAAGAACCATTGTTCGAACAACGAAATAACCGATTTCACTTCCGAATTCTGATCAATCAAAATGGCTTCATGTTCATGAAAACCATACATTAAAGATCTCCATTTGGGGGGGGGGAACAAAATTCAGAAACGGTATATGTTGAAAGATACTGAACAGAAATTACAAATGAAAATGAAAAGAGAGAGAGAGAGAGAGACTTTACCAAGAAAACTGAGTTGTGAACAACAAAATGCAGAGAAAATAATGGAATCAAAATGAAAACAGAACGTGGGTTCATGTATATAATTCTTAGCAACATATTCTTAATTCATCAGTCTTCATGTAATTCCATTTTTTTAATATATTAAAGTCAAAAACACAAAAAAAATTAAAAATATCGAACTAAAACAACCACTCTACATGAATCTCCACCACTAATTAGCTGATGTAAGTATATATAAAATTCGAAGAAGAAGGAAAAAAACAAGTTGATAACAACCAATCAGACTATACTCAAACTAAAGACAATCAAATAGATAAAAATTGAACCCTACTTTACACCAACAAAAAAGAAAATTAATTAAACGAAAAAAAAAAAACAAGAACAAGCAGTCTATGAATCAGATATACAAAATACAAGCAACCCAGTTCATGCAAACATCATTAAAGCAAAAAAAAAAAAGCTTACAGAGAACAACGGATCAAGAGAAAAGGAAAATCGGATAAAAAGGGCAAGCGAAACGAGAGTTGGAATGTACGTACAAGAGAAAGGAAAGGGAGCTTAGGAAACACTAACAGAGAAGAAACGAATAAGAAAAAGTTAACCGATGATAAAAAGGGTAAAGTTGCCTTAGAAAATAAACAAAATAAATAGCCTTACATTGTCGTCGCTGTTTCTATTTTCAATGTTTTCCATCACTAGAAGTCCATTACTATACATGGATGGCTGCTAAAAGGGCAAGCGAACGAGAGTTGGAATGTACGTACAAGAAAGGAAAGGGAGCTTAGGAAACACTAACAGAGAGAACGAATAAGAAAAAGTTAACCGATGATAAAAAGGTAAAGTTGCCTTAGAAAATAAACAAAATAAATAGCCTTACATTGTCGTCGCTGTTTCTATTTTCAATGTTTTCCATCACTAGAAGTCCATTACTATACATGGATGGCTGCTATAGCCACGCTTAGTAGAGATGAATCATTAGATCCTTGAAGTAAAGTGAGGAGTTTGAATTCCGACGTCTACAAATGGAACAAAATTATGTTAGAAAGATCAATCTATGACGAACATTTGTAAGTTCAATTAAATTAAACCTCACACCTTGTACTTTAACAGTTGATTTTTCATAAAATAAGTTTGGGTGGTTGGTTTTTTGATCTGATCCTAAGCTAGCATAGATCCAAGACTAGCCCGGTTGACACCGAGGCCTCGTTAATAGATCCCATGTGCAGCTGAAAAATAGTTGAAAATTTTCACTCACCACCACCATTAAAAGATTGCATCGTCACACATGTCCTATCACCGTTATAAATTATACCTATTCAGTTGAGCATTTATTTACTAATCATCATCAAATCCGATTTCTTTTTTTTATTTGTTTCGAATTAATTGATTTTGGTGACAAAAGAATTATTAGTATTCTTTGAGATTTCGGGTTCAAGCATAAAAAAATATTATGAGGGTAAGCGTTCAATGTCAAATGATTGAGTATTACATGTCATGAATTAACTATCTCTGATTTATTTGTATGTAGCATGGGCATCAGATGAGATGATTGAGGACATTAGATGAGACAAATTTATTGATATATCGAATCTGTCGAGGGTTCTCTGACATAATCATATAGTCTAAGTCAAACGGAGGTATTTAACAAAATTCAACAGTCATTTTATTGAAGAGAAAAAATTGATTATGACGGTTATATGTGGTTTATCTTTTCTGGTTTGAACATAAAATCGTTATCCATGATGGAATTATCGTTGATCAATGTCAAAATCTTATGTCCCATAAGGAGGTAGAAGAGGGATTGATAAAAGGAGTGTTTTGTATTCTTCTTTCGATATTGATCAAAAGGTTTTATAGTGATTCTTAGTGCAAGTGTCAGGTGTAGAATTATTATATCCACTTGTATATTAGCAAATTGAGTATATGATCGGCTGACATTAGATTTAGCTCTGATAGACCATGTGGGTCTATCGAAAATCATGTCAAAGAGTCGTGACTTCTTAAAGTATAAGGCATCAAGAACTTTATATTCGAAAACATTTTTTTAGGATTTTAACTACGGTGGGGATCCTTGGATATCCTGAAGTACAATAATTTTCGTCATTTTGCATGAAATCATTCATGTGTACTTGTGACACACACGATCATCGATAGCTACTCAGTCCTTTTCTGCAGGACGTGCACCATCCACGATGATTATGTTTGTGAACCGGAATGGATACAAGATTTTATGTTAAGAAAATCAGGCTTATAAAATTTTGTAAGTGATGAAAACAATATAAATATACGAGGAACGATAAAAAAATATGATTCAAACTAGGGATGTGAATGGGTCGAGTCGGGTTAGGTTATCGGTCCACCCGATCCGACCCGAACCCGACCCGATAGATATACACCTTTCACCCGACCTGATTTTTTGAGATAAAATTTGAACATAACTCGATCCGACCCGAAGTAATATATTTATTAAAAATGCTATTTTTATTCAATGAAAATAGGGATTTAATTAAAAAAATATATACAGAGAGAGGAGTATTATTGCAATTATCCCTAAATATATAAGGTAAAATTAAAAAAAATCGAGTCGGGTCGAATATTTTTCACCATAAGCTTGAACCCAATACAACCCGAACATAACATTAAAAAAAACACGACTCGACTTGACCCAAACCCGACTCGACCTGACCCGAACCCAAATTTTTTTAAATAATCCGACTTGATCGGGTCGGATTTGGTCGAAACCTATCGAGATCGAGTCTCATGCCCATCCTAATTCAAACAGAGTTCGAATCACAAAAATTATAATAAAACTCCAACATTGAAGTTCACTTCTATTAGAATCTAACTGAACCATCTAATTGACAATGCTACCAAAATACGAGGCACGTCCAATGCTATTTGTAATAAACAAGAGAGTGAATCACTTTCCTGCAGGCCAAATCCGGAACTACTTTAAGTGACCATTGTAAAAATCAAAGATTCAACAACAAACATCAGAGCCTTTTGTTCAAGGAACATGACAGCGGTGCATGGCGATTCTGGCTTCCGATATATTGGCCGGAAACTTGTGTTTCCGGTCAACTACGAGGAGCAGGTTTCACTGAGGCTCATCGATGCTTTGCACGGAAATTATTCGAAGTTGGCGTGTGAGTGTTTAGCTGATCCTTTTGTGGACACCAACTTCGTCGGAACGGTGAACTTGAAGTCTAAGACGACCGAGATTTCGTTGCACGATGAGGCTGCCGGCGAAGTTCTCGTCAAATATGAGGAGTTTAAGACTGAAGTTACTCCCCTTTTCCTTGCTGCTCATGTCGGGAACATGTTTCTCGTTAATAAGTTGCTGGTAAAACATTTAGTTTATATATGTGTGTGTGTATGTAGGAAGGTGAAATAATTAAAGCAAGGTCATCATCTTTTTTATTTGGCAGAGTTTAGGAGCTAACGTGAATCACAAGCTATTTCGAGGCTATGCTACCACAGCGACAGTCGGGGAAGGCCTTATGGAGATACTCGAGGTGCTCATCAACAGTGGTGCGTGTGAGGAGGCGTTTCTGGAGTCAAGCTACCTCGGGCATGCCAAACTCACCGAGCGGCTAATGGCAACCGATATGATCCGCCCGCAGGCTGCCTTACGAGCTCTCCTATCCGCCTGCTGCAGGGGGTTTGTTGATTTTGTTGACATGCTTATCAAGGTAAAATAGTTCTCGCCATGACAAATTTTCACCCGTTTTTTAGTTTTTAACCGCGGTTATGCTCATGACAGTGCGGAGTAGATGCCAATGCAACTAATCGGGTGCTTCTTCGATCTTCCAAGCCGTCTCTATACGCGAATATCGACTCTAATGCGCTATCTGCTGCTGTTGTTCGTCGGCTGACCTCTGCTGTTAGATCACTTTTGCAGGTATGCATCTTGGAACACAATCGATCGATGAAGATCCATAATTATTGTATAGGGTTCAAGATCAAGTTGTTGCTTGTTTAGTTACATGCAGAAAGTTCTCAAATTCCATTAATAACCTATTCGAAACCGATGATACTAGGCCGGCATTAAGACAGACGTAAAGGTCAGAGTTGGAGCTTGGTCCTGGGATATCGATACGGGGGAGGAAATTAGGGTCGGTGCCGCCGGACTAGCTGATGCTTACCCCATCACCTGGTGTGCTGTGGAATACTTTGAAGTCAGCGGTTCGATCTTACGGTTGCTACTTCAACGCCTCTCCCCGAACAACCTTCACTGTGGCAGGACCCTCATCCACCATGCCATCTTATGTAACAATGCGTTAGCTGTTGAAACTAAATATTAACAGTACTCGTGGATTAGATCGAGTCATTTACTTTTATCTACTTAAAAATATAATTTTGTAAAAACTAAATAAGTTTCAACACTATAATTTAAAAATTTTAAACTCCTTTGAGAATGGTCACGGATAAGATCGAATTAAATTTTTAATTCGTCCAAATTCGACACGAATATAATACCCCTTCATTATTACGAACCAATGAGTTGTTGATGATAATAAATTTGTCTCGTCAACTGTTAGCGGTTAATAAAATCTATTAAGAAATCTCGATTAATAAAGGGCTAATATTTTTTCAAAAGTTATCTGAAGAGATATAATAATATTTTTTTAAGTGGACTGAAATTTTAGAATTTAAAATATAATATAAATATTAATAGTAAAATTTGACCGAAAGTTGATATTTAGTACCACAAATTTCCTTTTTTTTTTCTTTTGCTTTTTCGCATTCACTCACCCACTACGACTCCAATCAATTGATGTAAAACTTACGTTGAATTTTTAATAAAAGGGTAAATTGCAAATATTTATCACTGGACTTTATTTTCTCTCTTATTTTTCTTATTAAACTTTAAAAAATTTCCATTTTTTACTAAATTTAATATATTGAAACTTTTAGTCATTAAACTTTACACGATCTTATTTTGATTAATTTGTCGTTAAATAGTTAATGACGTTAAAAATGACATCGTTTTAAAAAATAAAATTTTCACCAAAACAACATTTTTTTGTATTTATATAATAGTTCATTTTAATGCATTTAACTATTTAATGTCCGAGTGATAAAAAAATATAATATATTAAATTTGGTGAGAAAATTAAAAAGATTTAAAGTATAATGAGTGAAATAGAAGATAAAAGTAAAATCTAGTCATCAAATTTGTATTTTACCCTTAATAAAAATCAATAATTGAAAACCATTATTTTGAACTTTGTCCACACAATCTTGAGCAGTACTGCAAAACATTGCCGACGTTTTAGCGGTCGGTCCGTTTAAAAAATTATGAACAATTTATTGGAATAAAATTTGTTTTTAGTTTAATTTATTAATAGTTTAAAGTTTAAAAGTGTTAACTACACGGATATCAATTATGTTTGAGTTTTGTATATTTTTTATCACTGATTTTCAAAATACATAATATACGATCACATTCGTTTATTTTTAATTAAGATATGGTTATTTTTTTATTTAAAATGTGATCACCAAAGATTAACTTTCGTTAACAGTTAATATATTAAGTGACATGATATTTTGGTATAATCACATATTCGGTCACTGTTATTTATATATCCTCTCGATTTAGTCATACTTTTAATAAATTAAAATAAATTTAATCCTCTAATCGAATGATGTCACGTGTCACTGGTGTCATGTGTCGTGCCACGTGTCACCATTAAGTTAGATGACTAACTTTATTTTAATTTATTATATTTATTTTCCACCAGTCTGCTTTGCTTTGTTATATTAAAATAAAATAAATTAAAATAAAGTTAGTATTTCAACATAATGGTGACACATGAGACAAACACGTGGTACCAATGACAGTGGCATCATTCGATTGGAGTATTAAATTTATTTTAATTTATTAAAAGTATGACTACACTGAGAGAATATATAAATAACAAGGACCAAATATGTGATTATACCAAATATTTATACAAGGCCAAATATGTGATTATACCAAAATATTTATCGGAATTTAACTCGTGGTGGCCATGTCTTAATTAAATAAGAACGAATGTGACCATATCTTATGTATTTTGAAATCAATTACCAAAAGTGGACAAAACACAAAAATAATTGATCATCCGTGTAATTAACCCAATTTAAAATTATAATATGTATTTATATTTAATAATAATAATAATTTTCAAATATTATGTAAAAATTATTTATTTACTTTATGAACGAATATTTTATGTATTGACAACATATCATTTTATACATCATCAATAAATTATAAGATAATAAAAACATAAATTAAACTAATTAAAGAAAAATCACTTGATGAATGACTTGCCTACTCTGCTTGCAAATTCAATATGTATGTATGTGTGTGTATATATATATATATATACACACACACAGGAGGGAAGCCATAGCAAAAGCTTCTAAAAAAATGACAGATTGGACCAAGAAGACAATCCTCAGAAACGATGCACTGCAACAAGTAATTATTATTTTCATATATGTCTTTGTTATTTCCTGTTACAGTGTCAACAATTTTGCCTCTGTTACTGTATAAAATTGCAGTACATCTTTGAAACAACTGCCTATCCCAAAGAACATGAGCAGCTGAAGGAACTGAGAGAGGTCACTGCCGAGAAATACAAAGAACTGTAAGTTGATCTTCTTCCTCCTCTTCTTCTTCTCCTTTAAGAATATCGCTTTGAACTTGATTTAATATTTAGATATAAAAACACAGGAGCGTCATGAATGTGCCTGTTGATGAAGCTCAGTTCTTGTCTTTGTTCCTAAAGATAATGAATGCCAAGAAGACCATGGAAATTGGAGTTTTTACAGGCTATTCCCTTCTTGCCACCGCCCTTGCTTTGCCCCAAGACGGCCAGGTATTTATCGATTGTATACGTAGGGGTGATTACGGGAGATATTCTTAAATATATATAAGAGATTATTATAATATTATATCGAATTGGGTCGGATTTTTTTTTATCTTAAATCATCCGTCCAATTACATTCTTAAAAGAATCCGACGTCGAGTCAGGTCAAAACCAGTCTGGTTCGTGTGAAATGCAGCTAAGCTAGCCGATTTGCTTTCCAAGTGCAGATCATAGCAATTGACCCTGACCAAGAAGCTTACCAGACCGGTGAACCATTTATTAAGAAAGCCGGAATGCAGCACAAGATCAAATTCATCCCATCAGATGCCTTCTTAGTGTTAAACGATCTCATTCAAAAGGTAAGTAGCTACGTTCGTATGTGCGCTGATTCGTATAGGGATGGATGTCGTCCTTATGAAAATTTTAAATTATCATATAAATTAGATATTTTCTTTATATTTATTATTAATAATATGATTTCGGTTCCCTAAATTTTCTAAATTCTTTCTTCTCAAATTTCATAAATTCATCGTTCTAGTACAAAATCATGCATACAATCATGCGTCCTACGTACGTCTCTAGATTTGTATCCTTGTGCAGTAAAGCAAGTTGACTGGCTCGAACCTTTGCAGGGGGAAGAAGGGAGCTTCGATTTCATATTTGTTGATGCCTATAAGAGCGATTATCTTATGTTCCATGAGCTGACGGTGAAGTTGGTAAAGATCGGAGGGATCGTAGCTTACGACAACACTTTATGGTACGGTTCGGTCGCCGAACCGGAGGAGGAAGTGACGGACGAACTTGTTAAGATGTTTCGAAACTTTGTGAAAGAATTCAACAGCTTCGTGGCAGCCGATCACCGGGTTGAATCATCGATCCTTTCCATCGGCGATGGCCTTACTCTTTGCAGGCGTCTCTATTAGACAAAATTTTAAGTCCTCCGTGAGGTTTAATACCGATATAAGTAAATAAAATAAAAAATGTAACATTTAACATATACTTACATAAGTATAAGTCAATAACTTAGTACTTAACAATAAACACATAATTATATTAATGTACGTATGTTTTTTTTTTATTTTCATAGAAATAAAAATTAAAAATAATAGAAAATAAATATTAAGTTATTTGTATACAAAATTTATTAAAAATATAAATTATAAACAATATAAAATTATTTTAAGTTATTTGTGTTAAAATATAATAAATTAAAAATATAATTATAAATGTCATTTATTAATGGTTAATCGTTTGTTAATCGTTTATCAAAATTTGTAATCGTAACATTAACCGATAATCATAATTTTTAGCGGTTTAATTAAACGAAACTATTTAGTATTAATGTTTCGGTTAAATAACTTGTTAAATATAACGGTTATACCGATTAACGATTAGAGTTAATGATTACGAGTTTTTCCGAACACCCCGATATAAACGATGTTTCTTGTTTTTCTTAAGAAAATGCTTTTAGAAATTATAAAAATAAACCTTTTCTATTGGAAAATGAAATTCGTCCCTTATTTATAATATAATTATAATAAAATAAATAAATTTTAACTAATAAAACAACGACAAAATGGGCAAAGTTGTAATGCGGGCCGAATCTGCCTAGTTCTGGATCCGGGTCTGACCCATTTCACCATACAAAGTTTGTTCAAAGCGCATTTTCAAACCGTTACGTGGCGTTTAGTTAGAGCTACACGTCATCGATAACTTGATTTCCGTGCAGACAGCGATGCTAACTTCGATTCAAAAAAAAATTCAAAAAGATTCGGCCAACGAGGCACTGCAATTATTAAATCAGCGACTCCAGATTATTTATCTACATGGCCCTTCTACTTTTAAAAAGTTTGTATTTTAACCGAATAATTTGATGGGCATTGCCAATTAAAAACCCTCTCAATGATATATAAAATTTTATATAATAATAAAACATGGTAAAAATATTAACAATGTCTATGTTTTATTATTTTGACGATTTAATAATATTAACATTTCTTTTATTCAGAGTTTGAACCCTACTTTTCCTCCAATACAATACAAATATTTTCAATGTTCATATTAATATTAAATTTCATCATAGATATGATTTTTCTCATAAAAATATATTATATAAAAAATCTAAATTTAGCAAATAAAAATTCGATAAAAACAAAAACAAAAAGTAGGCTCATGGGGGTTAATTTTGTATTTAAAAAACAAGAAGGGCTCGTGCAAGAAAATTAATAAGTATAGGAACCTATAAAGAATTAAGACAAAAATGTCAGTGCCTCGGGACGTAAAATAGAAGCAAAAAGGGGGACGAAAAATTAATCTCCCTCCATTTCAAATTAGAAAAGAAAATCAGTCCCCAACGGCGTCGTTTTAATCTTAATCATCTTAAACACGGCACAGAGAATCTCAATTCCCACTCGCTCAATCATAAATTTAAAACCACTCTCCAT